TCAACAAGTTCCCTTGTTATTCCATTTGCAAGCATTTTTCTGTTACGCAAAATGAAGGGTGCACTCAGGTGTCGGAATTCATTTTGACGACGACGAATGTGGTTGCGACATGAAGCTGTCAAATGCCATGTCCAGTTGTTTTTGCAACCGATGATATTCAGTCTGAATGTCATTGGCTTTCTTAGATGGCATTGGCAGATGATAAGCGCGCAGAAATTATGCACTGTAGCGAAAATGTCGTTCCTGAACGTGGCTCTTAGCTTGATTTGTTTGTGGTTGTCGACCGTCGATGTGGACAAATTACTTGCCTCTCGGTACACTCTCAACAAGTTGACCAGTGCCATCGAGTACAAAACAAGACAACGCATAGCTGCTCATATTTAGTTAACATCTGTAACCAGTTTCAGTTTGACAAATGATGTTTAGTGCTGTTCTTACCATTAACAGAATTTTAATTGTCATCTGACAAGAATGCAAAATGCGCTGTTAAACAGTGTGCGGAACAGAAATCGTTCTTGCTGCATTCCACTCTGACATTGCTTAAAAGTGCATAGCATCTTGAATACCTAGTTCATTTGCAATACACGCAATACGCAGGTCACATCCAAAAGCAATTATTGATTACAGGTTTAAACAAATGTACTGAATTCGTCAGGATGTTACAATAGTTTAACATGCGAGACCAAGAGGAAGAGGGTTGCTTTTTATACTTCCCACACAAACTTAGAGTGAAGAGGTGGATGCGGTATTACTTGCAATAGTATGTCAAGATTGATTCCAACCATTTCTGCCATTAACAGATTCATGAAAGGCAAGAATTTGGTGATATAGCTGTTCGACTGTGGTCATTTCGTCAAACTCAGGGTACTGAACCAAATTCACTGCTCTCTCTCTCCGAAAACCGCATATTACCCTCGAAGCCTCGTATTTAACTTTCTCATTATTTCATTTTTCCTTGAAATTTTGCATGTCATGAGAATTCAGTTATGCTATCAGCTGAGTGATGGTACGTCCCGTATAAAACAGCACTTGTGACATGCATTTTGCTCATGAACATAATTTTATTGTGTGTTGGTCAAAGGAATTATATGCGGTCACTGTTCGGCCACGCGAAAGAAGCTCAGATCTTATCAGCCAATGCAATAAAGCTTTTGTCATAAATTCCTCTCTTTCACCTTCATGCTTCCAGCTGTTAAACACAGACTCAGAAATCAGGCGCCAATGCGCATAGAGAGTTTTGACATGTTTTCAAGTTTATCCAAATGGGGAAATCATTGCCAAAATTTGTAAAAACAATTATGAATCGGTGGCTGATATTAGGCAACAGCAGGATCGGATATTTGAAATTTTTGAGTCAAATTAATAAATGACAAAATTCTTAACATTATTGAAATTAGAATGAATTTTTATACAACTATAACTGGTACGTTCGTTGGGTAGAATGCGTAGACCTACCCAAATACAGTATCTAACAGTAACTCACCAGCGACGTCTACAGCGACAATGCCATGTGGTTGATATGCCTTTGCAAGACTGAGGACCTCATCGGACCACTCTGGATTCTGGCGCATTGTGCAAAGGATGGCGCGGTACTGGATGTCAAACTTTTGACTGCTTCGTTCAAGAGCGTCGAGAACTGTTTTGGTGACTTCGTCAGCGCTCAGTGTGGTTCCTTGCAATAACTGGGGTGAAAATCGAGGCTCAACATAGCAAAGACCAGCTTTGTTGACACAGTCTTCGAGAAAATCAAGTGTCGTCTGTGCGATGGCCTCCTGTCAAACAAAATAATCTGAATAACGGTTTTACCGGGGGAGAAGGGAACACGGGCTGTGATGGAGTAAATTTTCCAAACTGTACTTAACATCAGGTCCACCTTCGCCTTAAAAATTAATAGCGCTGTTAGAAGGTGGAATATCCCATTATTGTGCCTTACATGCATTGCTTAATTACCTGGATGTACTCCTTTGATTAAGTTAGAATATACTGAGTTCAAATTTAATATAAGAGAGAGAGGATCATGCGTAGACATACATAAATAGTGACCAAATAAAAAGGAGTTACGCAGGTACCAAGTCGCATTATTTATCATCTAATTAAATTCAGGGCGTCGAGGGTATAACTAAAGCCAACGTTTTTTTAAAAATTTAAAAAGTCGTGAAAATTATTTATTGCTAGTGAACGATCCCATTTTCTTTTTGTGAGTATTAATTAAGACTTGAACACATTTGTCAAATTTTAAAATAAATAATTTGTGCTGGTTATTTGTGATTTCTGATAATAGATAGGGTACAGTTGAACCTGGGCCACATTGTAGAATAAAAGAATGTTTTCTGGAAATAATAATTCAAGAAATGAGCAATTAATGTACCGTGTGTGTAATTTTTTTATTTATAGTACGTGGATTTGGAGGGGGTTTTTCATAAATCTGACAAAATAGGCCTCATTTCAAAATTGCGAAATAAATGACACATTTGTACAGGAACCGTACGAACAAATTCGATAAGATGCACCAAAAATACAACTTACAGCACTCCCTGCGATTGGTGGCAAAAGGTAGTCAAATGTTTTCAAAAAAGAGGCCAACGAATTCGGTTGCTTGACTATCAAATGATTCTCAAATTCATTCTCATTCGCGCCTGGCACAGGAAAACCCCGCAGCTTAGCAAATTTAAAAACAGTTGATGGTCTAAAAGCACCGTCCAGATGAATGTGCAGTTCCACTCCTCGCCGGCCTTCATTAAACTTCATGCTTCTTACAAGAAAAGAATTTGAAATAGTGCCCAAATTATAATTTACATATCAATGCTTTCAAACAAAAGTTGTCATTTCAAGGTTAAATAATTTAAACCTTAATGGGTTGCTTTAAAAAAATGCAGGATTAAAGAAATTATGCCATTTAAAACTTTTGATTTTAGTGCTAGCACTCTTTCTTTTAATTCCACTATAAGAAATTAGACTAACTATTGCAGTTATTTTATTTAGGTACTGAACCATATAAATTGCAATTTTCGGCATATTTTGGGCACTTGCTCTGCTTGTACCCTCATTAGCTACGTAAATTTGCTGTTACCAACGTTAAATTTTTTTATATCGTAGTAATGGTTCCTCCTGTTAACATGAGCTTTCCTTTGATTTCCAAGTCGCAATCGTATAGACCACGTTAAGATGAAAGTGAAACACCTTATACTAGCTGCTGCATTTCCCATAATAAATGCATGCATTTGCCGCTCGACCGTGTGATTTTTTTTCCATAAGTTCTCGAAATTTCAATGAAATATGAAATAATTTCTTTTTAACAGGTTGTGTAAACCGTACATGTAAGCTCTTCTCCTAAACTCAAATTGAATTTAAAGTATGTTCACGAAAGTACACTTGTCAGCATAATTTTTCTTAATATAACTGGAACTAGGTTGCCACTAAATATTTAATAACAATTTCACTCCCACCTTATTGTTTCATACACCATCACCGTTTGTCGAAGTGATTAATATGAGTAAATTTACCAGGTTGGTGTCTTATTATTTTCAGTTTCGTGTTTCTGCTTCGTAAAAAAATTTTCCATATGTTTTGTGCAGTGGAAAAGAAGAGGACTCTTTATTGTAGAACTTGCACCCATTGTTGAATCCTTGTTATCCATTACCAGAGTAATAATATGACAATCTACACCGTTTATTTAAATTCCGATCTAAGGTCATAAAGAAATACGGTCATCAGGAACATTCAGTGATTCAAATTATCGAGTTTTTGCAAAACGTTTTATGATCTGATCGACCAAATCTCGCTGCAGACTGTTCAAAGCTGCTTTCGCCAGAAGTCCAGAAAACGAACTACACAGGAACTTTGTAATTCTTAAAGTCCAATTTAAAATTGAGCAACAAAAGCGTCTGCATATTCTCAAATGATTGAATAAATACGATAATGGCAGTCGGAAGCAGCCTCCCATATATTGCAGCAGCTCTTTCGCTAGGATATTCCTCTACTGGAGGAATTTACTTAGGTGCACCAAATAACTGTCTATAATTATCAGTCAAGGTCTCCTCAGAAACTACCTCAGAGTTAGTGGGTTCTCGTACATAGATCGTTTCTGACTTGCCGATTTGGGGCGACTCTGTTTTTCAAAGGATGCCTAAATTCTTTTAAAGAAATGTCTAGCATCCTTTTTAGGATGTATTGGCACTTCGGTAATATTAATTTGTGCCAAGCTGTCGCCTAGAAATTGAGTTTGTGAATCGCCGCTATAAGTGATTTTAACATATGTGATAAATTGAGGCCTTTGTATCGTATTTATAGTGGATTGTTCTGAATTCAAGCATTTGAGGGATACGCCTTATGATTTACCCCCTCCCTGATTATAAATTGTCCCTACAAATTTAGCCTAAAGTGTTTCAACATAACGGACATGGTGTGTTCGTTTAAACAAGATGCATCATTGTGTGAAGTCAAAAGTATCTCCTCACAGGTAATTTGTGACGCTTACTATTCTACTCACTTAGAACCTAATTAATTTGTTACAGCTTTTTTCGTTTTCATGTATTAAAGAAGCACATTATTATCACCTAAGGCTTGGCTACCATAAACATTTGACTAAATGTCGTATTAACTGCCGTATTTCGTCATTTTGGCCAGTAATTTTTTGACCTCTTACACATCTTCTTGACAAGAACCTTAACAACTATGTAGGAAACACAGATCATGCAATGGTATACTAAACAATTAAGCTGCCTTTTGCAACTGCAGCAACTTAGACCAATCATGACTTGAAGAAGAGAAAAAGGTTTTTTTTGCATTTGGCTCACAGGTGTACATAATTGTTGGAGTTTGTAGCGAGCAGCAAGCCAGCAGAGTTAGCATTCCTGAGGGAACGCAAATCAATCGATTTTTACCGTGAAGGTACTGTAGTGGACAGACAGCCACCGCGCGTGAGTGCTGCGTGTTTGCTCGCCCGACTGTATTAATGACTCTCCTCTTTGCTATTGGCTCCTGTTAGCAGTCGCCTGTTACGCACGCGTATCGATACGCACCTAGAAGTTGGTTACTCGATTTTATCCGACTTGACTGGTCTGTCGTGACGCGAATAAACGGTCGTGTTCCCTATCGACTCTGTCCTCTCTCTTCTCGGGTTGCGACCGGCTGTTATCTATAGGGTTTTGTGGTAGTGCTAACTCGGCCCCTACAAGTTCATCAGAGCCAGTGAAATTTTAGCAGTTGATACGTGGAAACACCGCTTTGATTTCTTTTCGGTGCTACCAGCATGATGACAGATGACCTTTAAAGCTTTTATATAAAAATTTTTTAATAAAATACTGCTGCGTTTCGTTTCAATTAACCGAACAACTAATAAATTTAGATTGTGTGAAAATCGCTTTATATTTAGCGTCCGTTGCAAACAGTGTTGCAAATTAAGTTGCTTTTATAGCTGGCCAGATGTTACGATAATAAGTCGTTAGCTTTATGCAGAATTGTTGGTGCCTGTTTAATTTCGCTACTTATTAACGAGCTCCCATCTGTGACCAATTTTATAGCAGGACGATCAATTCATGCCCCAAAGAACCGATTAGCGTATGAGTTAGTGCATTTCTTATTGAAATATACAGATTAATGCGGGTCGCCATCACCCTGTGTTGCTGTCTTTCTTTCATGTTGTGTGCCTAGCACCGTAATTACAAAGCATGCCGAAGGCTCCGATCGCGTCTTTGAATCCAATTTTTCCGCAAAATTATTCCTTGTCATTCGTTGTCATTGGGAAGCACATCTGCATTTCCGGATTGAAAATGCTTGTTGCCGATTTTGCCTTTTTAACTACACAAAGTGCGTTTTGATCACCACTGTCGATAACAGCATCCAAGCCCCGCTTTTCAGTAACAAAACATTTTTTTACTTTTGACGATTTCATGTCTTCTTATTTGAGTCTGTCAACAACTCGAAGTGATGCTGCCAAATTCAGTGTTATGCTATAAACTTTCCACAAAATTTCCGGGTATATTTTTGTAGTAAATTTAAAATTTTACCGACATTTCACTGACCAATGGCTAAGGAATAATTGTTTAAATTTTCTGAGTTATTACTCAATTATCATGCCTCAGTAGTCTGAGGGGAGGCAGGATAATCAGTTATGACGAGATAACGATTTCTACCGAAATTAATTGTCACCCTAGTACCAAATGGTAACTAATAAGGACAGTGCAATTGGAACAAGTAAATTCCCAGTTTGACGTGGGCCACACATCTGTGACGCAACTAACATTACACACCACAACTTCAACGTCGACACCTACAAACGTGACTTTTTACTTGTGTTTAGATTGTAGAAGCTGAAATTAGCACTACCACGAAACCCCATTGATAACAGCCGGTCACAACCCGAGAAGAGAGAAGACAGAGTCGATAGGGAAAACGACCGTTTATTGGCGTCACGACAGACCAGTCGGTCAAGTTAAAATTGAGTAACTAGCCTTTTGCTTGCGTATAAATACGCGTGCGTAACAGGCGACTGCTAACAGGAGCCAATAGCAAAGAGGATGAGTCATTGATACAGTCGGGCAAGCATACACGCAGCACTCACGTGCGCTGGTTGTCCGTCCAGTACAGTGCATTCACGAAAAAAATCGATTGCAAACTGCGTTCGCTCACGAATGCTAACTGTGCTGGCTTGCTGCTCGCCACAAGATTTTCAGCAACCACTTGTTTCTAAGCTTTCCTTAGAAAACACTTTCTGTTACAAATCACGTACTTGTTTCTACAAGGACAGGAAGTTCTCAGTTCCGCAAATAAGGGTGTTTAGTGTCGACTTTCAATACTAACAGAAATATGCCGTCCTGTTGTTAATACTTGTTCACAATCAGAGTTTTCCAATTAACACCTTACAACAATAATGTAACCGCAACAAGTGTTTACGGTTTTCGGAGATCTGAGAAAGCACAGAATAGGCGAGAACAGACGAATTGCCTGCTCATTATAGGGCGTCCTGGCAAATTGCGTTTATCGGACACTTTGAGCAAAACGGAATAATTTGTGTGGTTGCGGTTTCACCAACGGATTCTATTTGCACACAATTTCAAACCGGCGAAATCGGAGTTCCTGATGGTCCATTTTAAGTAATAATTATTTCTCCAAAGAGTTTTACAAATGATTAATGTGTATTTGTATAGGAAAATAAAGTATTTTAAGAAATACACAAATTTACATTAGCTTGATTGAGAGCCATGGATCTCTTACTTTTATTTCAGTGTGATGAATCATTTAGAGTCAGAGAGGAACTGTGATGCGAGTTGGTAGTATTTGTTTTTATTAACCAGGACATTAAAAACTAACAAATTCGCTAAAGTTTCAATTAGTCAGTGCTAAGTATAACACAGGCGCCTTGAAGGACCCAGTAGGAGTTGTGTTCATTGGTGGGCAGATCTAACTTTGTTATAAACCCTTCTCCCATAGCGTTGCGACGCGAACTATTGACGTAAACAGGAATTTCTACCGTTCCGGTCAACTTCATTTTGTGACGTTCAATAGGCGTGAGCCGAATGATCGGCAGCTCTTGGATCAACATGCGTGGAAGCTGGTGCACCAGGCTGTGTTTCTAAAGTGCAGAGGAAACACATCACGGGTTAGACATCCGCGAGTGAGTTGAAACGAAGAGAAGTACAAGAGAATTGGAGTAGATGATGATAAAGAGGAGAAATCGTTCAGACACGGGTAAGACTTACTTCCACACTCCACGCAGACCCTTCGAGATAGAGTCCGACAACATTACACCCGACATCAGGGGCCATTAGAATGGTCCCGGTTTCTTCTGGAAGGGTATCCGTAACAGAGGTTGACATTGTGCACTTGTCAAGCGCCCAACCGTTCTTACGACACGCCTTCTGAACCAGTGCTGTGAGGTAAGACTGGGGCAGATGTAGGCCAGACAGCCACATCACAGGAGGTTCACTCTTCCCGCCATTCGACTAAAAAGAAGGGGAAACCAAGAGAGAAAGGTTAAACACGATAAAAGGCAAACTCGATTAGACTCTGGGAAAGCGCACCCAAGCCTTGTATTGATCGTTTCTTTGAAGGAGTTGCTGTAGCCAATCAGCAAGGCTCTTTTCAGTGGCGGGAACGAGACGTCGCCACGACGACGGAATACTTCCCCTACTCATACACGCTGCGACGTCGTCCAGTTCTGTAGACATTCCCACCTCCCCTGCAATGGCTCGACGCAGCTCCATTAGTGACGATTTCATCTCCAGCAGAATCAGATTGAACCTGAAGACAGGAATTACCCATCACCTATGAGCTGTCTTGTGCACAACTAGGAACGCCGTCTCACCTGTCCAGTTCCTGAATTAGCACAACGGTAGTTGGGGAGATCTCACCAACCATGTGCTTCTTGCGTAAATTAATCACATCAAAGGTTGGAGGAAGTCGAGCGAGGATGCTGGTTGCCATTGCATCGAGAATGGCGTCCTTTCCGAGGACTGCAGCGGCACCTGACTTTGTCACCTTCTTTTTGTCGTCCTCCACTTCCAATTCATCACTAATGAGTTCCTTCAGAAACAAATCCCGCATGAATGATTCAAAAAAACCAGCATAGAAACTCGAGTTTCATTTAACTACCTCATCGGTGTCTTGGGACAACGACGTCGAAGATGATGTCGGCGTAGATTCAACGACATCTTCCTCTTCCTCCCCATCAATTTCTTCTTTGACGATCGAAAGTTTCGGTTTCTCTTCCTCTTTTGCCTCCTTGGCCATCTCAGCCAACAATTCAGTTACGGATTTGGAGAGGTCCGCGAGTTTGGTTCCATCAGGAATGCCTGTGATGTTGTCAGTCTCCGGAAGGAGATTTTGAAGACTGGACCAGAGATTCTTTGCAAAGCGAACAGAGTAACCGATAGCTGTGTTGCCGTGAAGACCGAAAACATTCGGTTTCTGGTCAACTGGCCAATTTTCGACCGTTTCTGGCACAAAGGGAAGCAAGAGTATCAGAAAAGCCTGTTTTAGATGAAGCATCAGTCGATAGTAAACAGTCCCATAGTAACTAACGGCTTCTTTAAACTTCTTAAATTTTCTGCTATATTTTGGTTGGTCAACCCACTCGTTGAATTCCGTCAAGACCACGGCGAGCAGCCTGACGAACATGTTCGGCCAAGAATTCGGTCCTCTTAGCTATCACACGACCGAAACCGGTTAGCTGCCCCAACAGCCATTTACCTTACTTGGAGGATTGATTGTTCGTTACGTGACCGAATGTTGGTCACTAGACGATTCCGGATGTTGTAAATGGCAGGAGTGTTAGCCATGGTAATGTAGTGAATCGTGTTGACTCATGTCCAATAGCCACCCAGTCCTCGCAGCTTCCAGCACACGTTCCCCCTTTTCACGACCTGCCCGTCAGTCACGTGAGGCCACTGGGTCATTAACCACTCTGCACGTCCCACCACCACCCGTTTTAGTCATGAGACCTCACAGACACCTGTGTTTATTGTTGTTGTGCATGTCCACTGAACCCTAATTGTACACGACACAACTTGATTGAGCTGTCATGTAAATGGTTGTGCCTTCTCCACTCCGATCTTCTTTATTTTCGCGGGAACACAGGGTAACGTAGTCGGCGTAGATTGTCGGGGCCCTCAACAGTAAAATTTACTTTAAAATTTGTGAAAGTGATCGTAATTTCGACTTTGGTTTGAAGTTTAAGCTCTAGCCCTTAAACAGTACATCTCACTTGAAGTAAACTTTGGTTCGACGTGTCAATTCATTAAATTCTGATCGCGAATTCGATGCTTAGTTTGTAATTAGCTGAAAACTGCTTACCCAGGAAGTTTTCTCGGAAATCGGTCACGTCGTCGGCTTCGGCAGGAATCATGTAATTGACACTGTCATCGTGGTAGAAGTGGAAAGTCTGGAACTCATCGAAGAGGAAGTCGCCGAAGTACTCATCCATGTAGGTGGTCAGTACCCGCCTGTCGTAGCTGTCGATCGTGCGGCCACCATACATCACCTTAACAAAGTTCATCAATCATTGAATGATCTGGGATTAGACTTGTTCAGTAACATTCAAAGCACCCGTGTTATCTTGCAACACCACTAATTCGTGATGCTTAAAATCCGAAACTCCGTGTCGATTGTGTTGTGAATTGCGTTGATCCACACCCGCTGATCCGGTCACTCCAGCCTCTGTAACACCACCTCCCTTTTCGCAGCATGTCGCCAGCCGCGTGGATCCTCAACTCCCCCCTCATTCACATGAACATTTATCCTGCATTATCCTCACACCAAGGTCTCGATGTTAGCCCATCTATGACTCACACATCTGAGGTATACACACGCGCAAACGCTACACACGACACCAACTTGGTTGAGCTATGAAGTAAACGGATGTGTCCACGTCCTCTTCGGTCCTTTTCTTCATTGAGTGTAGCAGAGAAGTGTAATCGAGGCAGAGTTAATTCAGTGGCCCCGACGTGGATCGAGACCACATGCTGGGGCCCACAAAAATCGATTAAGGTCTAGTAAGACCCTTTGAATTCCAGTTATGAATTGGGGAGCTATTTCCTCGCCCTCATTATTATTGATATTTTTGGCATAAAACATTTGCTTCATCTTTGATATCAGCTCTGATTTTATAACAGGGAGTGTGATTAATTTGGAGAAAAATGTGACATTTCGGAGAGGAAGGAACAAATCAACACGATTCACCAAACTAGACTCTGTCGGACACATTGACCTCATCAGCAATGCAGGAATCGTCCACTCCAATGCGTGTACCACCACCATTGCTCATTCCACTCATATGGCCATCGAGATATTTGCGTTTCCACTAGTTCATCCAAGCCGCTTTATTCAACAACCACATTAGTCAGACACGACAACAAAAATAACATCAAACGCTTTGGCATCGGCACATGACAACGCCCACATGATACACATAGTTAATAATGGCATGATAGAAATGGGCTAGACGGGCATTTCTCTCAGAATCAGCCTAACAAGTCACAAACAACATGCATTACCACTCCACACTCCACCCAAGGATTCCTATTGGCTATTTCTATCAGCCTAGCAGTTTCTAGCCCAACAGCTCATTATTAGTGAAAGAAATAACCCAGAATGCACTAAACTATTACAATACAAGTTAAGGATATTCACTTAACTAATCACCACCCTTCTTACCTCCCCAATCAAATACTTGAGACTGGACCACTTAATGGGATCACCTTCACTAGTTTCGTTGAGAGATTTCTGTAAGATGAGCAGCGAGACGTTGAGGTCGGAATCGGCGAAATCGTAGGACACATTCCATCCCAGCTTGTCGTACCGTCTGCGCTCCTGCAGGATGGCGTGTAGGAACACCAGAACGAACATAATCGATCGGTACTTGGGGTGCGCAGAAGCAATGAACTGGGTATCGTCGAGCTTATTTAACGACGCTTGAATGTTCTGACGCAGTCCACTTGGGGGCTCCATCACGACCTGTGGAAGCACAAAGTCACGCAACTTCTGGAAACAAATATGGTGCTCGCCCATGAAGTGCCGACACGAAGCTACTGGTTCATAAAGTCGCTTGTTTAAATTAATTCAAGGCCGCGAAAGCGGACTGATATACAATTTACACAAATCTGAGGCTGTTTTATTTGAAACTTGGCTCTATGCTATAGCTTATTCACTCACCAGCACAAAATCTTAGTTCGACAGATCTCACCATCCATTACAAAACTGTTTTGAAATAAACACATTGACGTTTGCTATTTTAAATTATTTATGTGTATATCACAAGACTTAATGTGTATTGATAACGAGAGCCGGTTTTTTGATTCATTCAAGTGTCTAGAACAGGGTAAAGAACATTCTTATTCGTTTTTCACAAATGAAACGGATTCTTTAACAGATCGGATGTCTTTTTTGAAAAGATAATTATCCCCATAAATACTTGCTACTTAAAATTAGGTACTGAGGTTGATAGCAAGTCCCGATTGCCTGCACACACCTTGTAGGCAATTTGAAGCAGACCAACAGGGAAGGTGGTCACTGGTTCAGTCGTGAGCCAGAGACGGAAATCGGGATGTGGTTTCACCGCGTTCTCCAGCATCTTCTCCAGTTTAGATGTGTACGAGAGCAGAAGATGACAGTTCTGCAGCACTAGCCAATGGCCTCTTGCCATGCAGCTGGCAAAAAGAGCTTCGGCAACCTAGCCATGAAGAAACAATGCGTGCTTGAAGGCACTCCACGACACAACAAACTGTAAGCCCAACAGCACCAAATAATGATCATTTTCTTTCACTTGTAGTATCACTACTACACACGCCTATTGTTGAATTCCGCGTCGATAGTTTCCTGTACGTCGCGTCAGGAAATATGTCTACAATATACGTGTACTATTGTTTTGACTAACTACGTGGATGAGTAGGTATGCTACTTAGATGAATCAAAGTAGTTGTGAAGTCGGTTTCATTTAGGCCTTCAATCTGAGTCACTTAATGAAAAATCCGTAACGCATAAATCAACATTTCCTCAATCTCTTACTGTTCCTTTTAAGAGATTGGTTATTAAGACAGCTAAGTTTGGCATTCAAGATGCGTAACACTGTTGGGGATCCAGGATTCACCCAAGATGGCTAATCGGCGGTTTTCGTCGTTGTTTACGCTAATGCCCTAATCACGCCACATCAGTGGGTGAGTCACCCACGGCATCCTACTGACGCCACATCCGTGTTAAACCGTTTTCATCCATCAGATCAAGGTCATCCTTGACTTATATAAGTGTTGGCATTCTGACAAATCACTCGCACTTTAGCTGTCGTGATTAAAGCTCTCTACACGAGTTCTGGTCTTGTTCCTGCATTATCGTGGGAAGGTCGGTTCTAGCGTCAACAAGGGATCTGGTACCGCTATCTGAGTGGTTTTTCTCTTGGTTACGGGCAAACGCAACAAACAAGCGCTGGAATATTAGGGTCCTGTAGAAAATGTTTACACTTCTTGTACAAGTTGTAGACATCGTCTCGTGAGAGTGCTAATGGCTCCGCTATGACCACAAGGCGGAAGATGGAGGCTTGCAAAACTTACGGGTTCCTGGCCTTGCCCAAGTGAGAGGTACTTGATTTTGTTGACTGAGAAATCAACGCTTTGAGCCAACGCCGTGAGAGCCGCAGGCGGATCGGCACCGGGCTTCACGACAACCACGATGGGGATAGTCGGGGAGGTCGAGACAAGCACCTCGCTGAGCACCGTCATCGGGGGCGAGATGAAGCTGCTTCCCATGGTCGAGTTGACGAAGAGAGAGATGGCCGCCGGCACGCGGTCAGTTCGCCAGGCTCGAATCAGGCAGAGGCGCGAGAACGGACCCAGGTTGTCATACCGACCGGGAAAACGCTCCATCTCGGGCATCTCCGCATCGTACCACTAAATCGGATGGACCGGGATGGACTGTTTTGTACATACTAATGCTGTAATTCAAGCTGGATTCCAACCCGATGACTTTAAACCTGTTAATTCCCGAACGTCACCAAGGTTCAAATATGACTGGCCACCACGTCTGTTAATTTCCTCGGATCCCCTGCCAAGCCACACGCCCTCGTTCCTGATAATCCCTTCCTGTTTCACCGCTATAAGCCGCCTGTGTGACTAAACACACCGAATATCTACTTCAACGCATCTGTAGCTCGACCTGCTGGTACGCAAGGACAGCCACAGATGAAGAGATCCCGAACCACCGGTCTTTCTAGGTACTTCAGGTCGGATTGGACCGAAACAGCAAGCGCAATCTGATTGGCTCCCGCGTGGATCCAAGACCATATCGAAGCCTTCAACAGAATTCGATCCTTATATTTTACCGTAATACAAGGATATACGTTTTCGCAAGAGACACTGCATATCATGTTCACATTTGAGTACAATTTTGTTAGCAGGTAGATAGTTCATCACAAACACGGACAGAAGATAATCTCCATCATCGTCTGTCAGAACCAACATACCATAACCCATCTAAAGAGCTATTGGAAAAATGCCAATGAGTAGAGGAAGTTTAACCCTTCACCTCTAATTTGTGCTATGAAAAAATTACCCATCTGCAACATCTGTTGACAGCGGCGAGTATAAATGCTCTGAGGGTTCGAAATTCAACCAAAAGTTGTGTTAAAACTGACCTTTTTCCACATTTTGGGATGTTTGGCAACACTCTCTGGCAACCTGCCAAATTTATTCGGCAAAAAGGAAGCCAGGTAAAGGCAATCACGCCATATGGGAATTGGTATCCATGGCTGTGGCGGAGCGAAGTATTCATCCGTCAAACACAGATTACCCCGAACGAAATAACTCAATTCCTTTGGGTGCAATTTGTTGGCCTCCTGTTGCAATCGAATAGCCAATTGAAACGAAAGCAGAAGTTTGTGTTGTTCGAACAAAGCTAGAACGCAACAATTTGTAATCTTATTGGTCAGCGAGGGGGGCGCACACATTAAATTGGTTGAGCACGTGAACGACGCCTATTGGCCGCGCATCGAAGAATTATCCGAACTCACCGGTACAACCGTAACTGAACACGAAGTACGTGAGGGTTGACTTGATGTTGTCTAGACGCTTGGGAAGCGAATTATTTGGCATGGCCTTCTTCAGTGATTTCAGGAAGACTTGCATGAAAGCCGAGAGCGAGAACTGGTACATCGCGTCCACCATTGATAAGTCAGCAATTATGAAAAACAAAATTGCTCCACGTCTGAAGGAAGGAATGGCGCGTGTTAGTCATTCCAGATACAATCAATTGACATATTTTAGAATACCTAACTCGTCATTTAGCAGAACCACTTTGTAACACCTGTGCTTCCAGATCTGAGGTTTTTCTGTTTCCATTTGAAATCTACTACTTTAAACTAATTCAGCACGACTATTTGGAGGTCAAAATATTGCTTGTTGTTTGTATTGTATTTGGTTACACTCAGTGGTAGTGAGATTACGTAAAGCAACTTGCAATACTTCCTACTCTGGTTAAAATGATTGACAGCTACCAGACTTAACAGGAAGTTCGAGGTAAAAAACGAGGGAAAGAAGCTCGAGATTGACAGAGAATCACACGTGTGGTTGGAGATTCAGGCTTCAAATGGAGTCCCACACACATTTGAAGCCTGGGAGATGACATCTGATCCACTGTACTGCCACGAACTTTCTCCAAATCGACTTTTCTGCACAGCTTTTTTACGCAGTTTTAACAAATAACTCTGATAAAAAGCCAAACAATATAGGTTTGATTCAACTATAACGCACCTTAACCAGGAATAACCGTGTCTATTACAAAGTCAGCAATGCGTGAACAAGGCAACATACCGGGCAGCAGTGCGGTAGCTGTTCCTCTGTCTGTCGACGTCTACAGAGACCTTTGCCGCTTGTTCAAGCGCTCTGCTGACTTCAACAGCCTTCGCTTTCGTTTTCTCAAGGGTTCCAATTAGTTCCCAGTTGTCGAGGATGTTGCCTGTTTGCGTAGCCAACTCTAGTAACAACCGATCTTCCAATTCCTTCAAAATGCGCTTATTATCACTGAAAAGTGCAATGTTGAGTTGCTAGCAAATTAGTGGCTAAGATTTTTCAGTCACCACAGGATGCTGTGGAGTAGTTGGGTGGACGATGTTGAGTAAACCGTGTTTTGTAGTGAGCATCGATGAGACAACTCATAGCAACAATGAAGTGCCACTTTCTTGTCACAAAGGTAGAAACATTGCACCGACCTTGAACGATACAGGAATTCTCTGCTTTAAAATGATTTAACAAATTTACCAGACATTCATTTGACGCTACTAGAACTGAGGAGTGTTAAGTAAATGCGACTGACAAAATTCCACTTGCTGGAAACCATTAACTAACGAGAATTGTAAGGGTCTAGGATGCTACGGCGTTCTGCTTGAATCCTGCAGTTTGCTTTCGTCGGCTTGATTTCGGACAATTGAGGTAGAAGGTGATAAAATTTGCATTTAACGGGATAGCACCATTATTTCTGGACGAAACGACGCGCATTACCCACAACACACAAGAGCTACATCATAAGCCTTTACTTTCACACAAAAAACAGGGGTTTGTGTGGAAAAGCATGGAGCAGAAAGACTTGTGTGTCATGGACACGAGCAGCAACTCTGAAACCCGATGGGCACTCACCTCGTCTCTTTAATAAGATTCTCTCTCTTCTCTTCCAACTCCTTCTGCTCGTTTTTGACCAGCACCGAGAGGAGTTGGCCCTCGAGACCAGTGGCGGTGACAGTGTAGTTGATGATGCAAGCACGACTGAAGAGATTAGCAGAAAATCGGGGGTTCGGCAGCTTTGTCGTCATGTAGAGGCGGAATCCGTGGTCATACTCCACCTCACGATCGCCCAACATCACGACGTCACGGCCCTTCTCCTCTACATTGAAACAAATCGTGAGCCTATCTCAGAACTTGGAACCCCAGCTATACAGTGCTTATAGAATCCTTTAGGTATCCAAAGAATCTTCTTTGGATTTCAATCGATGTGGACCGTAGAACACGGCAAGTGGAATAGAATGTCGTGGTAGGTTAAGTTTCAAACGTAGTCTGTCACATTTAATAGCGTTTAGTGAAGGCTTCAATGCGGTTGGGTGGATTAAACCTGGAATTACTGGAAATCTACTCATTTGCAACAAAAGCAGCTGTATTAATTTGTTCTGTAGACATTTGCTCCTGCACTAGTAGCACAATATTTGAAGGACATTGAGTGCGGGGCCATACAATAACAAGGCAAACAAATTAGACAATTGCTGTTAATTCCGTTTATCCTAGCCCCCTGAATATCAGATGCTAGATATTGTCGGCGTTGGTGTAAAGAAATTAACCCAATAACTTGATAATTATGAAAGTCACTTAACAGAAAACAACGCTTGAGACAACAAGGTTTGCGGTGTAACGGTGTTTAGGATCGAACACGGTTACAGGGGAATTAATGTTGGTCTCCCAATCAATTTTTAGCCGAGAACAAGATCTAGGGTGTTGAACACTTGTTCACGTTAGGAATCCACTCCTTCAACACGTACTGACTAGAGCTGAAAGTTGGATTTCATTTGGCAGTTTACTGTACTGTTATCCACCTCGAAAGTTGATCTCCAAATTGAAAAGGGCATTCGCTGGTGGTAAAATTACAAAGGGACTATCTTCCATGACGCCTTGATTCTCAGTACAGTTGTTGAAGGCCCCGCTATGTGGTCTTAAACCACACCCAGACCGCCAAGTTGTGTCGCCCGGTTGTGCTATGCAGATATCAAGGAAGTTTATGAGGATCGGAAATGGTGGAGGGAGTTGTTAATCAGATGGCTCAAGCCAGTTGTGTTGAGGTCGCCGACCCACACAGTTTAGGTGATCTATTAAAGTACAAATGATTGAGTGGCCAGGGGGGGTACATGAACAGGGGGTGTTTGACCAGACGTGTCCGCACGACTACCGGACACGCTGTGAAAAGGGGGTGTGTGTGTCGGAGACTGTGGCGACAGAGCAGACGGACGTGAATCAACACGATTCAGTAGGCATGTGGCCTCTCGCGCATTATCTGTGCTACTTCTGCCCAGGCCAATCTTTTCGGCGTGCCCATTGTTTACGCGGACACGTCCAAGCATGTACTAGTTTGCTCGTAGCTCCCGCACCTCGTAAGCACCCACGATTGGACAAACAATGACCGTTCTTATCTCCGTCGTCCCTATTCTTAACCCTCCACAGGTGCGTTTGTAGCATAAACTGTGCCCGTTAAGTATGGTGTGGATTTGGACTCGTATCGGGGCTTCTACAACTCGTAACCTAAATCACCAGTTTTTGTTCCGTTGGATTATCACCTTTTCATCTCCTGGATAAGCTTTCCTAGTACGAAGGCAATCAAAATTGGGCTTAATGAAATAACCCTTATTCCACAAGGAAATTGAAAGTCTTCCAGAACGACTGGGTATGATGACTAGTAATAGCGAGAACTATCTTTCAGACAAAACGATTTGTGTGACCAAAGAAGAGATAGATTAAACTTAATCCAAACGGAAGGCCACTTCGAGATTCTCCCAAGAAAGACATCTACCACTGAGGGGTACATCAAAGATCACAGAAATGCCGTTTCACATGAGAAGATAAAAGCAGCCTAGCTACCCTCTATGGGTTGGATCAACTTGCAATTGACCCGGGCGTTGCCTCGGGACATTCCAGAGTCAAGATTCAGTGGACTATTCACCGCCAATCTCTACCAGAAATCGCATTCTACCGAATCCAGCCATCACAAAGTAGTGTAGTGCAACAATGAACCTACTTCTAATATTCCTGCTGAGAATATTGTCCAACACCGGGTCAATGCTCTCTTCTACAGAAGTGAACATAATGGCGATTCCAAACTTGATGCAATTCTCCAAGGTCCGGAGAAACATTGGATCGTTTAGAGTGGTAATCTGCAGCAAAGGGAAACGGATTTACGAGTAGTTTAGAGGGTTACATCACGAGTGGTCAAATTGCGGAAGCGGCAGGTAGGCGGAATAGGTTTTTAGGATCAAGTGACTGCGTGTTCATTGGCAGGTAGTTGATCATCGGATGACGGATAACCAACAATCGAGCTGTCAATTCTATTTATTTACTAAATTGTAGGAAAATTACCAATTTCCGAGTCAATCACAGCCTGTATATTTCTTTCATAAGTGGACATTTTACAGTATATTAATGAAGATTCCTTCACTAAAATTGAGAAGCTGAGATATAAAGGAATGAAGAGGTGTTTATGATGTTTCATTATTCAACCGGGAACCAAACTCACCGTATGGGCTGAGCAAACACGCCACCATAGAACGGCAAACAAGCATCCCACCTACAGCCTTTGGCTAGGAACACTCATTAGAATGCCTGGTCTCTGCATTGTTTCATAGAGGGTGAAGTTATGAAAATGCCACAAATGGTTTTACGCATTCTGAACCGATGGTACAATGTGGAAGGGGCGACGAGGGATTTTAGAACTAGTGTTGTGAACTAGTGGGCTGATGCCAGAGCACGAGTGGTTGGGACAGCCTAGTATCAGTAAAAAGACGTCACCGGTTTCCATATTTATGGATCACAGAAGGGGTGCGCTTTCTTTTTGGGGGTTAAGAATTCCGTGACGAAATTTCGGCACCGACATTTAAAAAGGCCGGCCAGAAAAGGTAAGACGCGTAGAAACACCTAGAACAATGCAAAAATGGATCTTCCACTGCGACGCGATAAGCCGAGTCAGCCTGTCCTTACCTTAATAGAGCGGGTCTCGTCTTTCTTATTGAATTCCATTGCGCGGATCCAGCTGGTAGCTTGTCCCTGAGGGTCTATGCAGACGGGAGTCTTCAGACCCTTGGTGGTCAAAATGGCGTTTTGAATGCTCAATTCGTCTGGTGGAAGACCTTGTGAGTTCCAGACTGATATCTCCATCTCCGTGGTCAATAGTTCATCAACCTTGAAGCCTTCCGTCATTGGGATCTGTAGTACAACAGAAAAGCATTAGCAAGGTGTACACATTACAAAAGTACATCCCGGTCTTACCTCATCATTAACGACGCTATCGAACCAATCTCTGTAGAGGAGTTGGGTTCTGAATTCTTGGGTAAACGGACCAAGGTAGTTTAAGAAGGCAGACGCTAACAGACAGTGGCCCATCAGCTTCCTTTTACCGTGTTGTAAGGAAGCTACCGTCTCGATCCATCTAGGACATAAAATATGTGTTATTTCTCACCAGCGACAGCATTCATCTTGGAACTGAGTTCAGACAAACAGCAGGAGAATTTCTGGACCTTAATTATTGCTTTTCTATGACAGGAACAAATTAAACGAACTACATGACGCGAAAATATAAAAGGTTCAATGCGGTAGTTTTGTGAGCTGCAAGACTTCAATGCAGTTTGTGTGGTTGCAGGTTTACAAGGCATAGGTTATATCTACACTAAACTTTTGATTACCAAAAAGTGGACCAAGGAAATCCTTACTCTAAATTTTGAATCCGGTCTACCAGAAACACCCGGATGCCGTGGTGCTGCTGTAAAAATGACTAAAAGTAGAGGATGGACGTATTCATTAATGCCTTCATGACTCCCATTCCCCCGTTAGTGTGTCAGTCTAAATTTTCAGATTACTGAATAAACCAGCTAGACGGCAGTTGGAAATTTGTACAGCTGATTGGGTTGGAAATTAGCTAAAATCCGAGCTTATTTCTCATGGATATGATGCTAATGGTTTATTCATTGCACTGTCAGTGGACAGCACAGAGGAACAAACTAAACAGAAGAATGCGTTTATAAAATTCGAACCAACCGGATCTTTTCAGAAGCCAAACCAGTGGTTAGTTTTTCGGCAGCCAAAAGTTGCCTCAGCATAATGTTCATTTCGTTCCTAAGGCGTTCCATCTCGTTCTGGGCCTCGGAAAATTGTCGACGAAGATTGAGCAGCATCTCTTCCAGTTGAGCTACTTGATCTCTTGTCATTTGGAGCTCTCTGACGGCCTTTGCAAGCTCGCGCTCCAACATCTTCACACGTTCCCTCTTGGGTCGGATCATCTTCGCGACATCGTAGAAACTAATAACCGAGAGCACAAACTTGAAAAAGCCACCGCCAGCTTTACTTGCAGCGCGGACATCGTCGTATCCGATGCCACGCTTCGAGAGAAGATCTAGAATTCAAAAGGCGGTTCTTCAATTGGGTTTGAGAGAAAGACTTCCGATGGTAGAAACTACCATTCCGTTGAAATTCTATTAATGTCAATCGGCTTATGACAAGCAGACGTCATAATCGTGCATGATTCCGTAAACACTAGCATTAAATTCGAACGAAAGACGTCACCTTTGATGGCATTAATGTTCTTCTGTGGGATCGCTTCGCAGTCCATGGTCTGCAGGGTACCGATGAAATTGGCGTCAGCCATGAGACCTCGAGCCGCTTTCCAGTTGGATTCGCTGGCCGACATTATGTAACACAGACATTCACCGACGAGTTGGACCTGAAAAACCACAAGTAACTCCGGATCACTCGGGCTCCCTTTACAAACTTCGGCTTCAGTAATTCACAAGTTCGTTTTATAGTCAAAAAGTGGATTTGCTAACTTGGCAGTCCTTTTGGAATGAAGGTCCAGTTAGTATGCAAGGCTGTGGCGACACCATTGCTCAAAGGTGGCGTGAACAACGCTCTGTCAAGCTTCCATGGAATCACGATGATTCACTGGACAGAACCTGTGGCTGGCTGACTACACGGGTATCCAAATTCAGTAGTAGAATTTGCACAAAATAAAATTTACAGCTTCGGCCAAAAGTAGTTGATTGCTGCTTGTCCCAATTTTCAAAATGACTTTACCTCGATTCAACCTTACTTTTCTGAGAAACTCCGTCATCAAAGTTTACAATAACGATCTCATTAGGATCACCTTTTAGGGGCCAGGTCAGATTACCGAAATGGCCACGTTCAGTTAGAAATTAAACTGTCCAACCACAAACATGATAATAGTTCCTGGTAAGGGTGAAATTTCATTTTTTGATAGCCGAGATATTGACGTCAGAAAGTGTGACTGAGTGTAAGAGATCTCAGCATTCAAATGTCATTATTGACGTGAAAACACCAAATAGGCTATAGAAATTCGCGTGTAAAGGCATAGAAGTTCATAAATTTCCATTACTTAGAATCCCGTCAATCACATTTTGTGCAAATTACAATGCTGAAGATGCAGCGAATTAGATGATGACATGGAACTACTGCTGTGCAATAAGACACTGACTCACGGGTTTGGGCGGGGTTGCAAACGCTCGGAATTCTGTAACATCAGCCTTGTCAAGTTCATCCAGAGCCCGTTTCGCCGCTTCCAATGCCGGCAAAGCTTCAGCCAGAGCAGCTTCTGCCTCGCCCTTAAAGGTACACAGTGGTTACAGCGGTCACAAGCGAGGTTTGTGTTGTTCCCACAAGCAAGCCTACTTTGTTTCTTTCAGAGTACACATACCTTTTCCTTAGTGATGACTTTTTGCTGAGCCGCGACTTCGATGGACTTTGCCTGGGCTTCAGTCTTCTTGACAGTCGCTGCGGCCGTGGATTCCTCAATCTCCTTCATCAACTCCTCACACGACGCCGTCTTGTCTTCCAGCACCACTTTCTGGATGGCCATCTTGGCATTCAGCTCGTCGATTTGCTTTGCAGTTTCCTTCAGCTTCTCAAGACCGACCTTGAGACGATCTTGGCTGGCCACATTTTCACTGAGGAGGAGGAGACACAATAAATCACCTGACATCATCCAATCACGTTTGGCGCAGGAATATTAATTTACTTTCATTATTCAAATTCTAATGATCAAGTACGAACTGCGAGAAAATTAGTGCAGGCAGCTAATTGAATGATCGTGGTCAGTAAAGCCACTCTCCTCCCGGCAATTCCGATCGCTGATGACCTCATACGACGCGGAAAACTTACTCAGTTTTCTCCCTCAGAAGTTTCTTGTAGCCCTCGATAAAGCCAATGTAGTTGGTGGCGGTGACGTAATTGTCCCGACGCAATTGCTGCTTGAATTCCACCGAGGCTTCCTCGACCGACATGTGGATGTTTACAATGTTCACAATCACAGCATCCCAGTGCCTACGAGGCACAATCTGGGCCTAAATGTAAACAAAAGGGAACAAATAACACTTTACTTTGCACCAAAGGTTGCCACATCAATAGATTCCCTCATGGGGGATCTCCACAACGTGGCCACCTGAGCGACGACTCATCGATCAACAGATGACTGTCAAAATTCAAATTGTCTCATTCAGAAATTCCCTAGTAAGGGTTAACGTCGTGGTTTACGACTTTTTTTAGGAGTTAGGCTATTTACTGTTCCTGTTGTCAGGTCGCCTTTGGTGACCTTGACCCTTCCAGATACTCGTGTCGTAGTCGTAATATGCAGTTATCCATTAAACACTGACATGAATTGTTCAAGCCGATATCCTACGTATCGACGCACTTTTCTAGAATTCTCTCATGTGATTGGTCCATTTTGGACCAATCGTTGTGGCACTGAGTGAAGACACCGTTAGGTGAGCACTAATCAGCCGATTCATGTAATTACCCGAACGTGTTTTCCGCGCTGTTTTTTTGAAACCCCCACTTGTGAACACAAACATTCAAACTGGGGATTTGGATAATAAATTATTCAAGTTATCTCTCTAGCTCATTTGTTGTTTCTACTATGCCGATGGCTGGTTATTGTAAGTCACACACACACACACACACACACCAATTAGTGGAAGCAGGTGTGGTGTGGGTTCTGTTTTGTGTCTACAACTGCAAATATACCTTAGGATCGACGAGGCTGCAAGCAACAGCATACAAAGCTTGTTCAGGCCACTTGAAAAACCAGTCGATTGTTGTGCAGTTGACAATTCCGGGAAAGTTTCGGCAACGAGTTCGCAGAGCATCTCCAGCCGGGCTCATACAGAGGGTCATATGCAGACGCGCCGTGCAGTCTCGATAAAACCATTTCCAGACGGTTTCCTTGGTGACATTCGCAGCTGGTCCACCAATCGCCTTGAGAGCTGCCTCGGCTTTGGGCCAGACATTGTTGATCACACCGTCTTTGTCCTCCTCCGAGAACAGCGATACAAGACATCCGGTTGTCAAAATGTTGTTCACGAACTCCAGGAAACCTGTGTCACGGGACACCGAAGTAGTGGGTGAGTATTGAGGTGCGAGGTGAATCTTTGGTGGAATGCTGCTTCAAATTATCGACCCTAAGCTTATCCGAGCTTGAGAAAATGTCACTGGCATACTTAATACCAAATCCAGTAAGATGCTAGGACAGATTTCACTTGGTCATCGAGGGTTGGGAATGCTTGAACGTCAAACAGAGGCAATTGAGATTAGACGGTGAAAACGAGTGCAATTGCCACTTCGGTGTTCCCAGGACAACTGAATTAATAACTCTGGGGTTTGTGACTTTTTAGTTTACATGGCACTGATCACACGATCGCGCAACTGACAATATCACGGAGAAGATACTACTCGACCGTCACACTATATCTATGTCCACACTAACAACTCGTCAGCTTGTGTAAGACGAGTTGTGTGCGCCGGTTCCCTGAGTGTGTATTTTGGTTAAAAGCGAAATCGCGAAAAGCATACGAGGGATGCATTTAAACTCTGGTGAGCAATTTCTCTTAAAATGAACTTGAGCTATGTTTGAGCACTGCCGGAGGGTGAAGAAACCCACCTTCACTTCTCACATGACAGTCCGCGAAGATGAACATGTATTCCTCTTTACTATCGGCCATTTGCGTGTACATCTTTTTAATGTCCTCGCAGAGCTCGTTTTCGCCGTAGCTCTTGCTCAAACTAATCTCGAATGTCTGAAGCCCGGCAATGAAAGCAGCCAGTTTGGCGAGCGCCTTCTTCCCTGAACCGGAGACCCCCACGAGGAGAGCGTGGCTGCCTTGAAGACGAAGAATGCGGTGAATGATGCTGAGGTGGCTTAGTGCGTCGTTGAACAGCACAAGATTCATGTTGCCCACTTGCTCGTTGTAAGCGACCAGAAGCTGTTGAGGAAAAAGGAACACGTCAGCACCAGTGGCTGCGATGCTTACTCCCTTCGGAAAACCCAACGCCACAGCCATGCCTCGACGGTTTGAAAATTCTGATGAAAGAACCCAGTCCAAAACTTACTGGGTTAGCAAATCAAACTTCGCATTATTCGCGAATTGTACAAGGCAGGTGACGCATTGATTCCATGTTTAGATGAACCTCAAGTAAACTGCTAAACAGAACCATTGTATCGAAAGAGGCATCCACGAGGTATTCCACAACACAAGCGATAGAGAGTTCGCCCGATTTTAGAGTAAACAAGGTCCAAAGCGTGCAAGACTATGGTAGTGCTTACTAGTGGCAATTCGGTTCAGTTGTGAAAAGAGGCGTTAGGTGTGGTTACTGACCTAGAAATTCGAACACCGCAGTATTTAGCCCTCTCCACCATCAATGAGTAAATATGACTAATGACTTGATGGAAGATGTTGAGTTAAACTGAAGGGCGATAAATTTAACTGGGAGTTTTTGAATGAAGTGTCCGTTGATTGATATTCACGAAGTTAGTAAGACTAACTTAATTCCTTCACAACGTAATCGAACCCAATGCTAACTGATCGAAAATGTAGCTAAAACACTCCACCTTACCCACAGAGGAGACCAATCAGAACATTTTATTGGCTGAATAAGCTGCCTTAGGCGCATCTGCTACACTGTTGACACATTGCCTTGCCATTTGAATGCCCCCCCCCACATATTGCTGGCATAAACCGTGATCACTACAATGTAATACCGTTATAGGACTATTGGATGATAGCAATCACGAGAATACATAGAATGGAATAACACTAGTATCCTCTGTCGACGTTGCACTGAAGTGCATTAACTAGGCCTTACCTCTTCAGCGATGGCCTTGCAGACGTCATAATCCTGAATGTCTTCGTAAAAGGTGACCTCTTCATCCGCACCTGCCGACCAGTAATCACCGAAAATGATTGGATCCATCAGCGCGTAATCCATGTCATCTTTGTAGTACTTTTCCAGCATGCTTGCTATTATCCCCTAAATATAAAATTTTAAAAATAAACCAGCTTAACAGAACACATTTGGATGACCCAGACTATAGACAAGGCATCTAAAATGTCTTAGCAAATTGTTACGCATGAATGCCACTACTTCCCCTACGGATGTTGTTGAATCTACTACCGCAGGAATAATTTGACATCTACCACATGCGTTCATAGCATCGATCCCAAATTTATGTCCATCAGTGGCAGTAATGCAAATGAACATCACAATAGTTTGAGAACGTGAATAAGTGTTATTTAAGCCTTTCTTTAAATAGACGAGAATAGAGAATCCAACTGGAACATCTGTGGAGGTAAAAAACTGTTTTGCATCTACTTAATGTGCTCCACCTGACATGTTTCATTTTAGAATCCGGAGTTTGTTATTCACTCACATCAACCACACTACGATCAGCATCGCTGATAAGACGATCATAGTAGCACCGGAGAGATTCATGCCTCCAAAGGCGGAGAATCTTCTTCGGCCCCTTGAACCTCGCCGAGGTTGCCTGACACATTCCCTGAAAGACCCGGGAGATGTCTCGCAGGTTGAAGGTGTAATGGAACTTCGTGGGTGTTGGTAGAAGGCGACTCTTAATCTCAAAGTACGTCTCGATGCTCATGCTGGTGATGTTTGCAACCATGGCCTGGAGCTTCTTCGAAAAGCCCATCGTGAAGTGGCCACCCAGAATGTTGCCGAAGATCTTCTTCAGACTGCTAGCTGGAGGTGGCAGACAGTGGAAGATGGAGAAAAAGGAAACAAATCGTGGATCAAGAGATCTCCGTCCACCACCAGGTGGGCCCATGCCTCCGACATAGGTCATGTCCTTGAGGGCACGCCAAACCAAGTCTTTGCCTTGTTCAAAGAGGCCTCCACGACCAAGAATCATTGTCATTAACGCGATCGGCTGTTGGGTACCATATTCATCTTCCTGTAATCAGAAAATTGACACCTTATTGTTGTAACCTTGCTAGAACAATTAACGGGGACAGGGAAACCACAAACCTGCGGCATGTTGAGATCGTCAATGAAGACGATAAGCTTTTTTCCAGGCATTGGCCCATAGACACCCTTGGCTCGCTTCTCTACATTTGCATTGAGGCTTCGAAGGACGTCTTTGGAGGATGTTCTTGAGGAGAAATTAATAACCAATGAGCATGTTGATTCGGGGTTCATTCCTTGGATGGTAGCCAATGCGGTAGCTGTCTTGCTCGTGCCCGTTTCGCCAACGATTATTAGCGGATGATTCAGCTAAAGGACATGCGAATAAATCGGGTGGTTTGACTGTGTCCGGTCACTGATGGCTAGGCAGGGTCACGATTAGTGAGAAAATCGATAGCGAAGCTTACGAGAAACATTTCCTTGAGGATCCATTCCATTTTGACGGTTTCCACGGTGGGTACAACAATCTCCGGATAGGGTATGGCAGTGTTGTGGATATACTTTGGCACAAGGCGACGCCATTGAACCCAGTGGAACTCCTCCAAGTCGAACATGTAGTCAAAGAGGTAGGAAGAGTGGCTTGGAATCACGCCTAAAAGAGATTGTTGGCATGCATTTTGACAGCATATGGAAATTACCTTGGATGTGCTCATGGCATGGTCTGAGATGGATCACAGGAATAAGGACTATGAAGGCGATTCTGAACATCGAATGTTGGTCCTGAGACATTACTGAAACTTGGCATCCTAGTTTAGACCTGATTGAAATCCACAATTGTAGATTGTTACGACTATTGAATTTTATCAAGATCGTGTTCGGGAATTAAATGGAGCTCCCAACTGAGCACTGAACGCCATGGTAATACTGGCAGGCCACTTGAACAGCCATCACCCTTTGCTTGAATTCAATAATCTAGGTGCAGTAGGGTCTAGCGCCGAGTCTTCGTTCGTCAATCTCGCGACGTAAACTGGGGCGCCAAGCGATTTGGTTTATAAACTTGGACGTAGAGACCCATGTTGAGCGCGAATAGCGGAGGCAGCCTAGTTGTTTTCTGTCTTGCTAAGGTGGTTATTTAGGTGTGGGCCTTGATGCCACCCTGGACCTCACGGGGGTGGGGGCAACCCCTACGTTAGGGCGTCTATGCCTCCCTCCCTCCTCCCTCCTCCACGTGAGTGCGGTGGGGTCTGACTTACGGTCCTCCCTTCTCTAATTGGCTGGTTACCGAACAAGCACGTATGCGTCCATATCACTACTATTATCTGATTGGCTTAAAGCAATGTGATGGTAGTGGAAGCATGCCGAACGGATGGTTTAGTACGGGATGTGATTAACTGAACGCAGCTTTGTCTGGATAGCCATCCCAGGAAAATAGTTAATTGATTTTGGATTAGAAGAAAATAACTCGGTATTTTCCCTAATTTGTTGAAATTTTGTGGTCCTAAATCAATCGTCCGTATGAAATCAGCCACTTCAAGAACCATCGAAAGGTTATATTGCAGCCTAGAGGATCATTTGTGACAGAAATAAGCCGTTTTAACGAAAATTTCATATGTATTATTCATTGACTTCTGAATGAGGCCCCAAGACAAAGCGTTGAGGCGTTTTCGTTAATTGTGGCGCATTAAAGGAGTACCAGAACGTCCGTGTCCCAGCAGCTTGGAGTTGAGGGTTGCAACGGGGAGCCATGGGTTAGGGGTTTTTTACATGCATCCCACCATTTTGAAGCAAAAAAATGGTGCTCTGCCCAGATGAGCAAAGGCAACATCGCGGGCGTCTTGGTCACATGCATGCCCGGCCAGCACAGAAATTGAAGCATCAAAATCGGCATATATCTGCGGACCTACCTGGAGCGACAAACGGCATACCATCGCCCTCATCAACGATACCCAGTCCCGAAAGCGCCTTGATTGCCTCATCAACGACGATCTGATCGCGCAAGTGCAGTGGAGCGGCGAACGCCCAGATCATGCAGTGCAGGAAAATAGCCTCTATGACCTCCGGGCTATCGAAATTGAACTCTGATTCCTCAAGGTTTGATTGATCGGTGAGCGGAGCCTGGGAGATCTCGGGCTCAGGACCGGCATCTTCTCCATCTCCGCCTTCGCCTGCATTTCCCTTCTCGTTTTCCTCCCCCTCCTGCGCTTCAGTAGAAAGTACTGGCAATTGGCCGGGGTTGTCTGTGCCTGGCACACTGCCTTCGTCGATGTGACCCGAGATTAGGGTACAGAATTGGATGATTGTGTGCATTGAGCTAGTTGGGATTACATGGATGATCTTTTTTCCCGGCGTGGAACTTTCTCCTGAACCAGACTGGCCGCCTGAGGCCGCTGGTTTGCTTCCTTCTTTCACTGCAAACAAAATTGCATTGAATGAGAATCTGGTGTAGAACTTCGACGATAATCAATTCACGATCATCATTTTATTTACTGTCGGCTGATCTTGACAATATGAGTAGATAAAAAGTCAGGTTCGATCGAATTAGTACAGGCAATATGTACGTGAAATTTAAACGTAACCTGATTGCCTAAAACCTGACTGGTTACTGAAAACCACAAATTTTATTGTTTACATAATTGGGAGGCGATTTCGGCCAGGCAATACGCAGTCAACTAAAACTTACCTGATTCGACGGAGCTACGTTGCTTGCGTCCTTTCGGCCCGCCAAATCCACCTGCGGGTACGATGCCTTCAAAAATGAAATCCATCAGCGGTGGAATATACTTGTTGAATAGATAAGTTAAGCCATTCGTCATGTTCACGTTTTTGATGCTTTGAAGCTATTGGAGAAGACACAGAAAAGGTGGTTGGTTGGTTTAGTTGAATCAGTTAATCGGATTAGACGAGACTTTCATAGCTCCTAGTCGAACTTTTGAATATTTAATTGACGACTTGGGAACTGGGAAAATGAATGGTGACTGATCAATAGTCAGGGCGGAGGTACAGTAAGGATTTTTTTCTGAGACTTCAACATTATCTCAACGTGGAATGGTTATCTTTTTCTTGGGCATTGGAGTATTTGGGGTGGAAAATTAGCGATCTAGAAACTCTAAGCAAGCACTGAAGAAAGAATGAATGAAATGGAGGAAACGCCAGGTGTCGAAAAGCATGGTGATTTTTCTGAAGCTGGATACGGACCACAGATTATTTGAATACCACTGTTGAAGATAAATGAGCAATCGCATCAAATGGAGATTTCATTTAGGTTTTAAGATTTCGAAAAACCCACCACTGATTGCTTCCGACGGGTAAATATGTAATCTTGGTTGAGTGTTTCATTTGACAAACAATTGTTAAGAGACAGGATTTGGATTCTGATAAGTGCGAGCTAATGCAAAGCCCAGACAACTGTTCACGGTTTCCTAAGCATTCAGCACGAGCTCTCCCCGCAATGCAAGTTGGCAATTCACGGGGTTACCGGGGGTTTGTCCGAGTTATTCAACTGATGGCTTGCGACTTCGTGTCATGAGGTCACGACTCTGTGGAAGCTCGTAACGAGAGACCCACGGTGGCATTGGATGTCGTCACGTTAAAATGCATCCACTATCCGAGGCATGACAAGCTTTACATGCAGCGGGAAATAGCCATTGGCATAAAAGACCATTTTCTACCTACCCACGCATTCCAATATGCTTCGTAGCTGAGGTTCTTAGGGTCGACGTAAACCATGCCACAACGGGAGACGGTCGCAGGTGATGCAAAGCGAAGATCGCCCACTTCGAAGAGGAGAGCACAGTAAGGCTGCAACTTGATGCGTTCTCCGTTCACTAGCGTGAGAAGCCGATTATCATCCATTACAGAGTTCATATTCTCGATCCACAGGGCATCGACGTCGCCGTCGAAAACAATGTAGCGTTTCTCGTTCTGGTCGGTGAACAGGTTGATTTGCCGGAATATCATTGAAAGAAGACCGTCGGTCCACTCGCGGCTTGCCGGGTCCAGCAAGCCATAGAGCTCGTCTACAGAACGGTCTTTGGGATTGATTGTGTGCATCTTCGTCGGGATGCCCATTCTGGAAGAAAGAGTGGAACATTCCCATCACGTTTCTACAGTACGTTTTTTCTGCTGGATAAGGAATCGAGTCCTTGGTGATACAAATTACAAAATAGCTGTCTAAAAGTGACGCTAAAAGTCTAGTCGATTTCGTTTGTCGCCGCCTCTGTCTGCAGGCCAAACTAAATGCACTCACAAAGGACGCATGTTGAAACTGGCCATTATTTTGCTTACCCAATGAACAGGCAATGCGACCCCAAAACATCAAACTAGTTAGTCAGTTTTGTCATTCTCCAAATCTGCAATTTGTATTGTTTTTTATGTACTATTAACTTCATGGAGAGCACTTGTAATTTCAATCTGGATACTAATGCTTTAATAAGTAACTCACGCGCTCTTTTTTAGTGTAATAAAGAAAACTGAAGTGCTTACACTCTTTGAGAATTGGCAAAAGTGTTGAGAACTGTCGATTTACCGCCCAGGGTCGGTCCGACAAGCATTACGGAGTGCCGAACTGCCAGGGTATCGCGAAATTGGATAATTTTTTGAAGCTGGAAACGTCAATAAAGGCATTTCAGGTAATACCGACAGAAAGCACACCCACATCACTTAAGATCTCACAGGGTCGCAATTAGTCACATCACCTTTATACTTTCCCCCATTCAAATAGGGTTAGTAACGTCGATGTTTACTATTACAAATCACTGAGTTGTGGTCCCTTCATGAGGTCTGGATGTTTTTTGCAATAAGACGGTGCATATTTTTACCTTACCGTACCGAAGGGGTGCAATCACGTGGGTTCCCAAGTTGAATAGGTTCCAGGCCCCATGGGTGTCGAAATAGACATCTGAACCGAGACCCAACCGTTTGTGAACATCGTTGTTTGCAGACCAAAGCGACCAAACTCACATCCAGCTAGTACTTGTGTATGAATATACCTTGACCTAATCCCACCGTCTCCGCCGAGGGCTGCCAAGCCTGTCTACTTACTTACTTGGTCTTCGATGATAGAGTAACGCTGGAATTTGAGGACAGCCGTGGCAGCCTTCACAAGCTCTGGGTCGGAACTGTGGAGGACCAATTCCACGCCGGGGAAGAGGTCTTGCACAAGACCCATGAATAGCGGGACGTCTTCGTGAACGAATTTTGGTAAATTCGTATCTTTCAGAGCCCTCATGAGGAGTTTGTCTTCTTGATTATCGGGATCAGCACGTCGGATTCCGCCAGCCATTGACAAGACGGATTTCAGTGCACGAAGTCCAAAGTCATAGTGGTATTGTTGGGAGAGTTGTTCTTTCGCCAAACGATACATTGTCGTCAGCTTCTTTGCAAGCTCCTAGGAGATCCGAAAGTACCGACTTGAGCTTGATACTTATTACTTCCTCCTAGTATGGTGGGCCACCACTTACTCTTGCAGTGAGGAAGCCCTGGGAGAATAACATGATCTCACATATGTACTCCAAATCGGGAACAATCACCACAACCGGTCGGAATAGCGCCTTCAGGGATTCTGGCAGTTCCGTGCGGCCTGCGTAACCCGGGTTCATTGTGACGAAGTAGCCAATGCGGTTGTTTAATACCGTTTCCTGACCTTCAAACTGGACAAGTAGAATCTCTGTTAATCTGGACTGTCAGTCTAGAAACCAAGTCCTTTGTGGGAATGTCACATTTTTGCTGGAACTACGTTAACTACGCATGTACCGACATATCATGTACTTGAAGAATTGTTCTATTTGTAGTTATCCTTTGATATTTGAACCAAAATTCGAATATGGTAGGATTTCCTACATCTTAGGAGCCTCCATCAACACTGAGAAAAAGTAATCAGGGAATACACGTTTAAAACAAAGTTAAAGGAAAACAGCACAAGAGGTCCCAGATATTGAGTGCAGCTGTATAGACCAGGTCATGAAGCGATTGGTTTGACCAAGATAAATCGCATGTCGTGATCGTTTGATGTAGTCATTTTACTTTACGTAGCCAGTTAAAAACCCCTATTTACATTATCCTATTCAACTGATACCCCTGCACCAGTCTGCATCTTTAAAACCCTTCGTTGTTCAAACACGAAAAAGACACTTTTGTACAGAATCTGGAATACAAGTGAAAGATGAGTGTCACAGACCTGGAATAACGTCGCCTTTGCCTTGAGAGCCGCCTGAATCGCTTGTATCTGAGTGGTTACCACGGAGAGAACTGATACTTCAATTCGATTGAACTCGTCGAAACACCCCCAGCACCCCACACGACAAAGTCCCATCATCAGTTTCCCAAATGACTAAAAGGAAATTGGAAATTAATCGAAGGTAAGCTCAGGGCCTTCTGGATATCCAGAGTTATTGACTTCGCGCTCTGATGTTGTAAATACTCAAGTAAGGTCTGGGTTCAAATTTGCTTACTACGTTGAATTCTCAAAATGAGTCATCTACAATATGATAGTGGTGAGAAAGGTGATAGGGCGTACTGGAAAAGCCTGGACCACTAAAAGAAACTAATCTAGCCCGATGCCTTTCCCATCAAAATTAAAATTACTTCTAGGAGGAGGACGTGTTCACTCCCACCACATACCTTGTAATCCATGCTGTTGCCGCAGTTCGTGACCACACACAAGAGACCCAGTGCCTTGGCAAGGTCTTTAGTGCTCTCGGTTTTGCCTGTCCCCGCTGGGCCTGCCGGAGCCCCCCCTAAATAAAGGGAGAGGGCTTGAGTCAAGGTGAGGTATATGCGATCAGTGAGGGGAGTGATGACTAATCTTCCATTCATTCCGAAGTACTCGTAACCGTAGTCGAATTCTGCAGAAACCTGACGCACTTTCAGGGTGTCCAGCTCCCTGACCCAATAGAAACGGAGCTGTGACTCCCATTCGAATTCTTCAGCACTGAGAATGCTGTCTCTGATGAAGTGCTCGATGATGTCCTTCGCATGAACGTCTAGAATGAGGACAGTCTCTAATTTCTTCATGATGTTTGGAGTGACTTTGCCCCGGACCATCTCGACAATCTGGAAGATCTGATCAAGAAGCTTTTTACTGAAGTCCTTAAGCGCCTTCCTCTGCCCCGCCATCATGCGTTTGAAGACATCCTCCGTCTCCCACGTAAACCAGATTTGTGTTGCAGCCAAGACTACCATGCCCTGGAGCAGAATTAAAGCTTGCCAAATCGTGTAAACAAATAAACCTTCTCGAGAGTTGGCTGAGCCTCACTTACAAGAAAGTCCAACATCCAGTCTACCCGACGTTTCTTGTAGCAATAGTAGAACAGGGCTCGTTTTGTAATCAGTTGATTACTCCTCTGCATTTCAGCCTCGTGGGCCATCAGCCACTCTTCTACTTTTCCAGCCACGTAGACAGGCTAAACAAAAGAAGAGGTTACAAGGTTGAAGGAGAGGCGTTGGGAAACTCACCTTATTGAATGGCATGACTTCGTCTTCGCAGGAAACCATTGCCGTAATGAGGGTATTCTTCCCCTCCTGCTTAAACTGATATCCCTTTATGTTGTCGAACATCTAAAAAGGCAAAAGGCTGCTCAATCTTGCATTCTGCAGGGTGCTTCCTTGAGAGGCTGTGTTCGGTCATTTTCAGTCGTCTTAAACACAGGTGGGTATCGAGAGTCATCCTTATTTGTCGGTTGGGAAGACGAAGCTAGGACATAGTGAGGCCACTAATTTGCTTTTGTGTAACCTGCGACGCAAGTGATATTTTACCCTAGCAACCATTCATGGGAAATCGGGAACACGGTTTTTCAGCAAAAGATAAACCTCATACGCACGTGCCCCACCCAATTAGATCTAATTCGAGGACACTGGGAAGCAGTTGGACTTGTTAGACGTAATCTACGGACGTCCCAGACAGGCTCCTTACCCTTAACATCCACTGCCTTCCTCCTATCAGACGTAGTCACATACCTTTAGATAGTCATTCTTAACAAGACCTTTTGACATCTCATACCGTAACCCGTTTTTTCTACATGTGCCTGAAAAACAGCACAACACAACAGAGGTGGGCGAATAAACTAAATCGGCATTTACATTTCTGGCTTCGCAACTATTTCCTGAGCTCTACAAGTTGTGTCTGGCCTTAGCAAATTGGTAAGATTAACAGTGAGACATCAAATACAACCTTAACAATGTGCTCCTGAATAGCTTCAGCCTCTTTGCCACCCAAAATAGAGAGCATCTCGTCGTCTGAAATGAAGTAGAAGCGCGGAAAGGCGTTTCGTTTTGCGTCTAAGTAGTCGTTCAGGGCCTTCTGGCAGTACTCGAGCTCATTCTGCAACATAGTCAGGGTATCAAGCTTGCGGTTTGCCAAGCACGCCCTCATGATGTACTGGACGTCATTCGCTTCCTTCATGATCTAGAATATGGACAGAATGCGATGGAAATTAGTTGAAAGAAGTTGCCACCGTAGTGCATCTTCGGCGCTGATCCGATTGCTATTTCACAATTCACAGTCGTGAAAACTCGCGTTTTAACAAGATGAGATCAGTGGACCATCGGGAATCAAGAAGTCGCAGAGAATACCAAGACTACTTCACGCTCCGATTCCTTGTTGACATCAAGAAAACCTGCGAGCGAAGAGAATGGCAAAACGAAGACACGAAGAGGTTGAAACGGTCTTTTTACAAGTTCGCAGATTTTATACCTTTCAATGAGCATTTAGATCGTAAAGTACCCATGGTGGGTACTGTAAATGGTGACATTGATGTGCTGTTGTTAACCCCAATCCTCAACAAATCAGAGGTATAGGTCCTGCGAACATTCACTGTCGTTTCAACGCGTAGAGCCTATAGTCTCAAGCCACTAGGACTCGAACGTCTTGGCATTTTGCGTGCACGGTACTCCAGAAAATTGGACAGGGACGAGGTATACGATTGCTAGACTTACAATGCCAATGGTGAAGTACCTACTGCATAGTAGAAGGTTCACGTACCTTGCGAAATCCGGCATCTAGTTTCTGGAAGCGTTTAGCTTCATTTGGAAGTTGATTTGCTATGTCACCTCCGACGAAGATCACTTCCAAGTACATCCACTTCTGCTGAACAATTACCCATTTCTGTATAAAAATAATACTTATCAAGTGTCTTTCTTTGATCCGGCAATAAAAATACCACAAATTAGCATGCTTCCGTGGAGTTTTAACGATCTTGTTAAAGGCAGTGGTAATTTAGTCTGACTTATTATACACATAAGGCCCCTAATCCGGTCTCTCCACCTCCTACACAGAGTTCCCCTTTTTCGCAGCATGGCACCAGCCCCGCGAATCCTCAACTCCCCCTTCATTAGCACGGATATTTATCTTGGAATATCCCCACACATAGGTCTCGATGTTAGCGCATGTATGACTCACACATCCGAGCTATAAATACACATGCGCAAACACCACACACGAGCTTTGGTTGAGCTCTGAAGTAGACGGTTGTGTCCCGTCCTCTCCGGTCCTTTTCTCCATCGAGGGTATCAGGGAAGCGTAATCGGGCCAGGGTTAATTCCGTGGCCCCGGCGTGGTTCAAGATCACATGATGGGGCCCACAACACTCTGAACGAAAGAACCTCAGCAAATTATGTCTTGAATTGCAGCCAGAACTCAAAGAATCAGGGTAGAAGCAGTCGACAGGCCTACCTCCAGTGTGTCGCTGATTGTGCTCAAATCCTTCTCCCATTGACGCACAGTGTTGATGAAGGGTGCGGCATTTCTGCTCCCGCTAATCGACTGCAAGTTGAGCATGTTGTCTTCAAGAACCTTTGTGATGTCTTCCAGATTGCCAAGCACCGGACAAGCCTGGCCTTTGCACTTTGTGTACATAGTGAGGACGAATTTCATCTCTGCCCAGGTCTTCTTAATCTCCTCTAAACTCTAGAAGACAGTATAAAAAAATGACATAAAGTAGAGAATCTGGACGTTTTAAAGCTTATTTTATCATGTGGTTTGCAGCAACGCCACGACTAGAAAGGTGAGATTTATTGGTATGGTGAAGATTGAAGAAACAAAATATTGATTTTCTGTCTGAAATCATTCAATACCAGTCAAGTCCAACCCGAGTAACTCGTTCAAATTCACATAGCCTACACTCGAAGCCACTAATGGATGTCAGATGATTTCTACCTTAAAAGCTTGTTTTAGGGTTATAGTAATAATCACCTGAGCATCTTTTATAGATTTTACTGATTGCTACCTGAATCAAAGAAATAATATCCACATTGGCGTTTAGATACGCAAGATATTCATCGTAATCTCCATAGCCAATCCGAAATCGGTAAATAAGAGGGACTTCCGCTTTCATGAGCCAAGCTAGATATAAGTTTACTGCTCTAACTAATTCGACACGACTATGTAAAGTCCAAAACTCGATTAGAACTGACTTACCAGTTCGATTACAAGTTCCCGCTGGGCGTTTGCTACGATGATGGCAATCACCTCGGAATACTGATGTAGTTCCATTGCAAACACACCCTCCAGCGTGAAAGTAAGCGGGTCAATGTCAAAACTGATCCCGGTCTTCTCCATTAGCTGCTTCCAGTGCCTTTTTTAAAAGAGTTATAAAGGAGATACAAGACTTCGGTGTCAATGATGTTTGGGGTTCCTACCTAATTTAGTTTACAGACATAGCTTAGATAACCAGGTGAAACGATCCCTTGTTTACGAGGATGAAGCCACATGGTTAGGATCACGACTGAGCTTGCTGTTAACTACCATTAGCTAATCGCCTTGGCAAACTAACTCGAGATCCTTGGTCGTCGTGTCTGTTCTCCGATAATTGAAAATGCCGGGGAGAGAAATTTGAAACTATTTTTGGACAAAACAAGAACTGGAACTCTTTTGATACCTGTCTCGAAGGGCATCATCCTTCAAGTAGACAATTAGTTGAAGTGAATCTTGGAAGTTCTTCATGTCGGTGAATAGTTTGCGGGAGCACGGTAGCATTCGTATCTTCTTAGGTGCGGCTTTGAAAGCATCAATGAATTCTTGTGTGGCCAGTTGAATTGCCTTGATGTTGACGTCCTTCCAAAGCACCAAGGACCAATCTTGGCGAGCAGTCTAATGTAAAAGGTCGAGAAATTAGTGGCTTATGCGTGAACTTGCAGATTGTAGTTCCCAGGACTGGAATATTCCATATCACATAAATGAATCTTCTACAAAACAAACCTTCTGATTGATGTACAGGTCGTAGATCGGTTTCAGCTTGTGCAATTCAGACCGAATCATCTTCAAGTCTGGATAGGTTGATATCGGCAAGCCCAGGAGACGCTCGCTGCTCAAGAGGTCCACACGTTCAGCTTCCAGTGCATCAGCACGTTTAAGAAAATTGGCCAGTATCTTCACTCCATTATCCAGGTCTTGAGCCTCGGTACCAGGACCTGACTTTTTATAACTGAAAGGACGGATAGCGAATCATCGTTGGCATAATCGCGCAATTTAAAAACGCATGATATAATCGCTAGTCGTTAGCACTCAAGTGAAAGCGCTTGATGCTCCACAAATCTCGAGAACTCACTAGGTGGTCCTTGCCAAAAGTTAGAACGGTTGCGTGCGTCGAAAAGCTTACTTAAACCCTTGCATTCGACAAGGTGAGAAAGACAGCTACCGCATGGAATTCTAAAGTAGAACACGTACCAACGCGACCTCCCGTATTTTCATTATTTACAGAATTACCCAATACACACACGGACACACACAACCACACTTCATACAGCCGGTCTGTACTCGAAGCAAGTAGTTATGCCTCATATCATTCATTTCTGCCCCTTTAGTTAGTAAAAGTGGACATGGTGGGCTTTTTAACTTAGTTTGTACACATCCCCTTAGCTCATTGGTAGTGAAGGCCAATGATTAGTAATGAAACTCAACGCACAAGGGACTTACTCGTCAACAAATGCCATTACTCTTCTCTTAAAGTCCTGTACAACGTCCCTCACACCAACAGAAAACTGAGCCTTCATTGGGGCAATGTTGTCCGCCATGTCACCAGCTCTCTTTATAATGGCGTTCCATCGACGCCGCATGATGGTCGCCGAGTTCCAGTGCTCCTCGGGGATGTGGCTGATGTACTCCTCGTCGCCGTACTGACGGATCAGGCGGTAACGTTCAGTGAGATCAGTAGTGCACTCATCCACAACTTCACACAACCCACTAGTCAACTCATTCATTACACTCAGTAATTGTTTCATTTGAACCAAGGAAACTGGCTTCTTCTTGAGGACCTCGCGTTTTTCCTAACGGAGAAGAAAAGATTCGGCACCGATGTAAAACAGGATTGTTCCTTTTTTGAAATTTAACCCATTCATGCAGGTGGTGAAGCTTTGATTGGGGTCGAATTCACAGCAGCTACGATTGGTTGCTAAGTAAATTTGCGGTAGTACGAAGAAACATCAGCCAGTGAAGATGGAGAATATTTGAAGCTACTAGCCTAATTTGAACTAATCTTACGATATGCCATTATAAGGCTCTATAAATAGCAACAAGGACGAAAAGGTCAACTGGAAATTTTACGTAGTTGGATTAGTAAAGTTGACCTCGGGATAGTGAAGGATTGCAGATTCCTACGTCTTGCAAATTTCAATTTGTCAGCAACGTACAGCGGTCTGCAATTTACATGATAGTTATACATTAATGTGATAGTTACACGTACTCCATCCTTTGGGTACCATTTCAAATCTCGAACTCTCCGTCTGTTCTCTACCTTACTACACTGACGGTTAATTCGGGTTTAATTAGAATGACTGCAGTGATCATATTGTATTTTACTGCTAACGAATTGCCTTGTTAAGGCTCTTGTTAAATTGAGTCAAAAGTGTGGCTAGCTGTCCAATCTTTGGCTTCAGACGGCAAATTGAATTTTAAATTGGTGCGCAGCAAAAAGTGACAATTTCTATATCAACGAATGTTCCATAATCAACCGCAAAAAGCTCAATTGGGGGGGGGTTAGATAATGTGGCAATTTAGACCATTAAAAAGGCATTCTGAAAATCAAGGAAGACGGTAAGACCGAATAGCGGTCACCCGTACCATTGGCCCAAGAAAACAGAATATTCGTGTTTATTTAAGCCAGTGCATTTTGACTTTGTTACCAGATGTTGTCGTCACGAGATGTCAGCGAAAGGCGAATTTCCTGGATATTACAGTTACCATAAACCCATGAGTTATCGAGACATTTCTTGGTGAAAATATCCCACAAAAACTTAGGCAATTAGTTGGTGTAATGAATCAAACTCCAACGATTCGGAAGCAAATAGTAAGGGTCATTGAAAAATTGGAGAGAATTACGGCACGCAGTTTACGGCCTAGTGACTGAAGAGATTCTGAGAATGGCTTAAAAAGGGATCAGTGCGCAAAGGTTAGTTCATTTGCAAATTGATGTTCCGGCAGATTACGTTACGTAATTGTGGGTCTGGAAAAATGCAAGCGTGACTACGCAAAGTAGCAGCCGTGATGAGGCTTAATGCAGCAACACACATACAAGCAACATCTACATTGTGTTGGTGTATTTCTGTTCGGCTGTGTCGTAGATAAAGCGCAGGTAGATGCGAATCCAATCAGAGAGGTTCGTCATTACGGAGTTGAAGAAGGAGCCCATTCGTAGGCCGAGGGCACCGGCAAAAACTAGGCGAATGGGACCAATCAGGCGACGAAGGCTTGCAGCCCAGTTCTGCAGGGTCATAATTCGAATTTCAAAGTCCCGCGTTGAACGCCGCTTCTTGTGGACCCACTTTTCCACCACGTTTAACTAAAGACAAAGCAACACGGTCGCTAAGTGATGCGTTTTCAGGATAATTTGCCGAATTTCGTTCTCAAGTCACAGGTATAGGCAGCATCTGCCATACAGATTAGGAGGGCAATAAGATCAAGACTTAGCCGATGACCTGAGTTTGCATGTCAGTTAGTTGCGCTAACCCAAAACGCAGCAACGCACCTTGTCCTGGTGCCAGAGAATGGCGTAAAGCACAAGACGTCGCAGAAATTCCATGACGTATCGGTTTAACTTGACAACTCTCTCATTGAAAACGAGGTCGGGCTCGTGGACCTGGGGACATCGCTCGATTTCTTGGGAGAAGTTGATGCTAACGATGTTGTCACCTTCTCCACGTGTGACTGGACAGGCGATACAAGTTCCGCGCATCCAACGAATAAAGTAGCGGGTGCTAGAAGGCAGTAGTTCGGAAAACACTTCGCAATCTTATATGTATAGTATTTAAATATCCATGGAATTTATTAAGCATAGCAATCGGAAGACACCCAATTTCCTTACTGCGGCAATCAAAATATTACTAGTCAATAACGAGGAACGTGTGCCACTTCGGTATTCAGACTATGAGGTCCCGAAAACAGTGTTGCCAGTGCTAAGGGATGAAATGTTTGACGATAGCTGAAGAGATCTCTCTACTGCCTCCACAATGCGCGTGGTTGTTTACTGATAATGTGCATTGCCGTTCGTCAAAAAAGAAATTAAACATGTAAGGTAAATTTAAGCCAGCCAGACTACTATTACACAATCTTTCCATGTGGTGGTACACGAAATTTAATTTCTATTAAGATTCCAAACTGTTTTCATTACTAGCACAGACTGCAGGTTTAACGACTGCCTCTGAGTGTTTTCGACCAAAAATTACTCCTTTATAGGGGTTCGATGTTGCTTCTGGTGATCAGTTATTCCCCTGAATGTAACTAGTAAATTTAGTGAAATTTTGCTAAACGTTTCAGTAAATCACTTTTCCCGGGTGAGTCTTTTAATTAGCGCGGGTACTTTCTTCCTTTAGAGTTCCGAATCGGCGTTTAGTTAATTTCGACAATTTATATTTTGGGAGCACTATTCTCCTTTTAGTTAGAAATAATACAATATTGACACCAACGGTTGTCATCTAAAAGGCGATATTTGATTTACTGAGATAGTTGGCGATTTAAATCAAAATGAGTGCCTTGATAAATTCGCCCTATTTCGAATTTGCTCACTGGACGTAATTCTACCCACAAACTTAAGTTATTCCACAATTTTAGGGTCCACATCGCACCAGGAACGACAAGAGTGACATTTTAAAAATGGTTAGGTTTAGTCTTTCTCTAATTTCGGCTTAGGCAACACTAGAACCTTTGTGCCGACATCGCCTACCAGTAAATTGCGGCTAAACGCTACATTCAGCTCACCTGTCGATGCATCCGCGGATAGTCTGTACCATCCACTTGTACAAATCCACCGTTGTCGGATATAGGACAACGTCCGAATTTGTGAGCAGAACATCAATGTGGAAAATAGGCTTTAGGTCACCTAGTTGGTCCACAAAGCGCCAGATGTTCTTCAACACCATCTGAAAAGCACGGGTATCGTTAGCCAGAATTTGCGAAGATGAAGCATCCAAGATCTCCAGCTCACACCATGGATATCAGGTAAGTTATCGGATGCAAAGAAACAGGTCAACTCGATTGTGCTCAAAGGCCGTCAACCCAATGTGCAATCATACTACATTTGTGTTTTCTGATTTAGAACCTAAGATCTTCGGCATAAGAAAACTACTCAAATGAAAATGGGAAGTTTGTCGGAAATACGTTGAGCGCTCACCTCGATCATGGCACTATTTGGACAAATCAGTCTCGTTTAAATACTGAACTGGTTATCCTTAAGAGCCAATTCACGGAAGCTCTTCTTGTAGCTATCTGAATCTGATATCATCACCTCTGTTTTGGTACCAAGGAAAAAGTAAACTTTGAAATAGACTATTCCTATAATTTACTGGTTGGATGAAACCTGGTATGCGATGTTTCCCACAGTTTCCTTATCTGTTGTTGATTAAAATTGTGCAGGCGACTGGAAAAAAATTGTGTTGGAAGGTAATGGACAATCCTTGTGAGCTTACATTGACCAAAGACTCAAGCACGCGTTGTTCAAACATTAAGTAGACTGCCTCCATTTGGACGCAGCGTTTGGTATTGGTGTCAAAGAGAACCTCCTCTAGTTTACTGAGGTGATTACTGAGCGTGCTTTGTACAGTGTTAGCTAACTCCTCCATGTCCTTTTCTCGCGTGCTCTCAGCATAATCCATGAATTCCTTGGCCGAAACGAGGAGTTCACTGGAATGCTCCTTGAACAGATTCATTTTCGATATGCGCTGACAAGCTCGATCCAACGCCGAGAAACATTTGTTGATCTCCTTGACTTGAAATTCGAGAGACTTCACTTTCTGGGAGCAGAAACACTGGTGATTAGAGCTAACAAACCTTATCTGTGATTTTCAGCAAGACTCACAATGTTTGTGCTATATGTTTGAGGAGAAACAAGCTGTTTAAGGAGCTGCATTTTCGTTTGAATGCACAAATATTGCTTCATTTTGGCCAGAAATCAGTCTTTTGCCTCAATGCCAATAATCGGAGCTATTCTGTCGATTTAATTGCGTCAAGGGCTAGTGAGCGCAAGTTTAAACGTCGCTCCGCTGTTTATTATTGTACACAGTTATCAGCATAATGAATGAAAATGTCGGATTCCTTCTGATTTCTAGATTGAATTGTCATGCCAATTGGGAGTGGAAATCAAAAGTACTTTTAAATTAGTTCGCATTGCAATTGAAAAAGTTTAATCATTTGTTTAATGTCTAAAATGTTGTTAAAACGAAGGCTTTTTAACAATCATTGGCCAAAAACAACCTTCTCTATCCTATACAGTGATCATACAGTATAAGCCGGGTGATTCATTCATGGATTGAGGATTCTATAAATTCACAATTTTGACGATACGCGACAACTGCGATTGGCTAGTTTTAGTGTAAATTATGCTGACTCACCTTCTCTGAGAGTTCAATGAATTCGTCGATTGCCAAACTGTCCCAATTAAGGTAGCTTACACCCCGGTCGAAGTGAGCAATCATGTCTTGCAGTGTTAATTGAAGTAGTGCAGCCTTGACAGGAGTGAGGCATCGCCTGACAGCTTCGTAACGATCGACGACGTCCTGTAGGTTGAGCACAATGCGCTGAAAATAACGCCGCTAGAAGCAGAACAAAGCGAGCAACAGCTGAGGGGGACCATGCAGTTTTTCCACGGGTTTTACCCAACATTAACTCACTCGCAATCCCAGTAGTCTCGCTAATTCTGGAATGGGAATTCCAAGGAGCTCAAACCGAGCAGATTCGGCTATCGTGGACCAAATATTTGAGTCAAAGTTCACTTCATATACAGGGACGTCTTCTGCAGAAGAGATTATGCACGTTAGCTGGGCTCCTATTGAACCACTGATCAATTTTCAATACGCTACTTTGACACTAGTTTGCCTCAAGTTCGATCAAGTTGGGTTGCTGCATTACCTTTTTTACCAAGACCTCCGCAATTATAAGGATTATTCCTGAGTCCTTTTGGAATATATGTACCTGCATTTTCTCGCCAACCTAGGAAACACCTCAAATGATGGCCAAATATTTCATGGATTGTGTTCATTTAGTACTACCTAGTTCGTGGTTATCCACAACGTAGAACGCAAGAGCGTAAGGATTCGAAAGGTGCTAAACATACCATAATCAATTTGATCATCGCATGGGAGCAAAGTGAAGGTTGAATGACTCTTTTCGGTGTTTTCTGTAAAAATGGACTCATTTCTGTTCATTACCGGAGAAATAATGCTGGTTCCGTACGTGCTGGGGCTTTTGCTTGTAAGGAGACTTTGAATTTCAGCGTCGACTGGAAAAGGACCTGCCCACCACGTCGGAGGAGGCTTGATTGTCACAGCTCTCTAAATGTTGGAGAATGCATAAGTAGTTCTCAGGCAATGCGGTCACTTTCAGCTCGTCGATCATCAAACACGTCATTCCAGCACAATTCCGCACCCAAACGTGTTCAGAAATTGCTTCAACTGCGTTGACATGAAGTGTTAGCTACGAGTATCATGCATCAGCGGTAGATTTCGGTGGACATTAACTGCGACACCTTAGACTTCACCATGTGGATGGATTAGGTTGCCAACAGCAAAAGTCGCTGGTGAGGCTTGATATTGATGCCCTGTGAGTTTTTACCTCAAAACTATGCCCCTAAGCACGTGCTGATTCCTCCCACCAATTAATCAAAAATGTTACCGGAATTTCAGATAATAATTTCTGTCTATTAAAGATAGAACGCAATACTATTTCCTTAGCTTCTGATCAAAAATTACATGTCCTTCTCCAAGCTTCTCCAACTTCTACGACCAATAAAAACTTCATATTCCTCTGAGACAATTAAGAGACAGAAATGGTGACGTGTCAGATTGGCAACGGTTTGTATTTCCATACGTTCAGATACTTCTATAATACTTAAACAGCAAATAAGCAAGGATACTAATGGCACGGTTTAGCAGCATTTATTCAAATAAGCACCATTTGACTTCAGTCATTCCTTAATCACACTGCAAATAATAAAAATTTTCATGACTTTCATTCTATGTATAGCATGGTTGGGACAAGGGAAGTTGGTTTGTCAGGCCGTTGGATATTTGATTTGATTTATCAATTGCGGACGGCGATAAAATCAATTTCGAAATTTGCGAAACGTATTCCAAAAGTCAAGAGTTGACGAACAAGCAAAAACACTGTGGATGGCATTCGATTGGGAGTACCACATCACTCCCTAATTGGATACAGGGAAATATTTAAGTTTAGACGCATCAATCGTTTCGGTTCCCCCGTTTTCCTCTACAGGATGAAATAGTAATCGGATCTGCGTTTGGCTACCCAGACTATCGTAACCTTGGGAAACGGGTGAGCATTTTGCAACCGCTGAATTGATTGTCAACACCAACATGGGGCCCACTGTCCTTTGATAACAACCTTAATGATGCACTTGTTGTATCGTTTATTGCCTTACTGAAACGAGTTTCTTTTTAGACTGAATCCTATGGCATACCAAAACATAGTCAAAGATCATACATTGGCTGAAGGAATCAAGAATTGGCATATTTTAAGCTCTACTTAAAGATGCCACTGAAAATCACGTGTCTTGACTTGCATTCTACTGCATGAATGTACCTTGTGGTGAAATTGGTCAAATTATATCCCACCTTAAGCAGTTTCTACCACGAGTTATGTTGAATTATCAGTTTGAAGAAAATCAAACAATCAACTCTACAAAAAGGCTTCTTGCCCACCTTGTTGAATGGTATGACATTTGGGTTCTTGAAGAGGATTGGCTGATTCAGTCGGGAGTTGAGAGTGGCCGTGACATCGCTGTCCCAGATCTTGGATTGCTCTGTTTCGTAATCACGAAGCTTGTGTGCCAGATTGATGTACTTCTGCTTTATAAGACGGCCCTCTTCCTCGTCAAAGAGTTCCGGCTGCGAGTGAAGGAACCGCACGATGCTGTATTTGACAGAATTTAGCGTGAGACGAGCCCAGATTATCGCTCCGGATACGGGGGGAGTGTAACGGGCGACGAGGGGATCGTTCTTCTGTTCCTTGAACCTCGACTCGACTTTTGAAAGCTATAACAGCAGAAAGTACAAGCGCATTTCTATCTCAATCTCAAATTGCATTTTTCCGTTAATGGTACCATTTATTCTGATGCTCGCCAACAGCTGTATTGGTTATTTACCCAAATACAAAGTCATCTAATCCTACACTAAACTGATTTATATTATTTTGAGCCACAAATCTTTCCCTTTATGTCAACAATAATAAGATTTTGGGGTAATGTTTTGAAAATAAAGATAGCGAATACTCTCTTGACCAATGAGTACCTCCACTACCAACTCAGTGAAGAAACACTAGCATGAAATCCAACGCCAAGGCTTAGTTCAAAAGCCTAGACGGGCTTGAGTGAGCATAGATAGCTTCAAAACGGAGAAATTAAGGTGTTCACCTCGGATCCCAAGCTCCGTAGAACATCACGATACTTGTCCTTCAGTAGACAGCTGATGGCACTTCGGGCCTTGACAGATTTGAACTTTTCCAGCAGATTGAAGGCGTTGTTTGCGCCTCGAATGTGTGCAAAATAATCGTTGATAAAATTCTTCGCCTTGGCGTCAATTAGGCTGACCTTGTCGGCGAATTCCTCCTGGAGTTTGTTCCAGGCTTTCTCGTTTTGAGGCAAAAAGGGACATCTGAGTTTCTTCATTTAGAAAAAAGAACACATTCCAGTATAACTACCAATGAAATAAAAGATGCGCTGTAGCCTCTTCGGGCAGGCATTTTCGATGCAGTAAAAGCGAAGGCGTTGTCATTTCGAATAAGTAAAAAAACCCATCTATAAGTTTGGGATATGACTTAGCCTAACGTGAACAAGGCACTTAAACGGATACCGAGTCTACGTACCGGATTTTTCAGTGGGTTGAAAAGGTTGTCGACCAATCGCAGCACCTCACTCAGCGATTTGCTCTCCCCAGTTATATTCTTTAATTCCGGACCAAACATTCGGTAAAATTCTTTGGCGCACTAAAAATAACACCAAAGGGGGGGCTAGCAGCACATTACAAAAAGATTGGCCAAACTACTAGAATCACGCAAGGTGGCCACCAACACACCTGACCCATGTCGAGGATGTCACGAAGCACGCGAGTTACGTAGTGGATCTTGCCAAAGAGAAGTTTCCGGTCGAACTCCCATCGATTGTCAAGCGAGGTTGCCTCAACACGCAGTCTCTCCTGCATGTAGGTAGATTCAAATGTTGTCAACATCCGAACTGCTGCTCCCGTTTCACGAAGAATGCCATGCACTGGTCGGCTGTTAAGTGGAAAGTAAGATGTGCTTCCTGATTATACATTTAGCCCGAAGTCACTAGTCAAAAACCAAATTTGAAATGCCACAAACCCAGAGTAGAAATTTCAACAACCAACCTTAAGTTACAGATTAAGCAAGTGATTCACCAGAAAGGACGACGGCCTGTAGTGAATTGCGTTGAATCCCGGCCATCCCCTGCTGTCGACGCATGTCTGAACTCGTTGGCACTTCACCCATTAAGTGTACCTACCCAACCCTCTGCCTCAGCGTTCCATCGTCCATGAGGACACATCTGATCGCATATATGTGCATAAACATCACCCCAGTCACTCTCACCTCAAATTATATCATTTAGACAGATGGATTAAGCACCACCATCTGTCATCTTCCTCCTGTGCACTTCTGCAACGCAACGACGCACGCTTCGACTGGTCTGATGGGGCAGTGAGTCCCTCTCTCGCCGCCTACCTTTTTTTCATTTCTGGGTGCATCGTGTCACATGATGCCACAATAAGCCATTAGCAGGTTTACGGCGTCTTGACCAATGACTCATCCCTACTTCATTGGTCACTGTTATCAGTGGTTTGTCACCCGCTCGCTTATCCGCACACACACACTGGCTGGCTAGAAGCCAATCAACAGCTGTCACCCCTCTTGCGTCTGTTCTCGGGTTGTTGCGGATTATTAACTAGAAGGGTTGTAAGGCAGTGCCAGCAAAGCTGCTACGACCGACTTGTAATGATGCGGAGGGGCGATTTCTCACCTGAATAGTATAGGGATGTTCATTACACGGATAACGCGATCGTAGAGAGCCCATGCAATCTTCTGCAACAAAGGGCCCATTCGCTCATCTTTGTTGTAGCCCCTGGAAATTGTCCAAATCAGACGCAACGACTGAAGCATCGCCGGGATGGTGTCTGCGACCACGCTGAAGTTGTGCCCAAATTGAACATTCTTGAAGTGACGTTCGACCAACTGGAGAAACCTAACAAGAAAAGTATAGAATAGTAGTTGGGTTCTTTTACACTACAGTTCAAAATCGAGGTCTGGGTGAACAAATCATGATTAGTATTACTTTAATGGGGAAAAATCCAGGAACAGTTCTTTGTTCCCTCCTCTGAAGTTACTTGTTGTATACGTTGTGAACAAGTGTTTGTCAAGAACCAATCAAAACACTGTATCGGCCGGCCTGAGTTGTGTCCTCTCAGCTTTCCGCCATTACTGATTGGTTGATACGTGCCGATATGGACTTAGATCAGAAGCTGACGAAGTCACGTTAATAGATATTACCAGATGATGAGCTAACATTCGATTTAAAGCATTCAGTAGAGAAGAGGTTCATAAGGTTTCAAGACTGGGAAGCTCAAGACGACTCAGGGCAACGATTTTGAGTTACTTAAACTCCCATCTGTACAACACCCAATAACGCGGTCGTCACAGCCTCACACACGTCCCAACTTTCACGGCGTGCGCGTCAGTCACTGGGACCGCCTGCTCATTCGCCCCTCTACGCACCACCACCTCCCGCTCTATCCATGTGACCATTTAGAACTAAGTCCACTCAAATGTATCAGTAAACACAACACAACTTGGTTGACCTGTCAATTAAAACGGTTGTGCCTCGTCCTCTTCGATCTCCTTCATCCTTGCGGGTTTTCAGGGCGGCATAACCGGGTTAGATTCAACGCAGTGGCCCCGGCGTGGTTCAAGGCCACACGCCGGGATCCTCAACAACACTCTTCGCTGCCACACGAGTGCCAAGGTTGTAGGTTGGGGGGGGGGGGGGTTTCAGATATGTTGTGATGAGGAACATTTCATAAATTTACCCTACCAAAGGCTGTTCATAATTAAGAGGCAGTTCCAGCAACGTTTGATATGTGCAATATTGATGAAAGTCGAATACAATTCCTCGCATACCTAGCATTGTCCTTGGCTTCTGCCATGAGAGTTCGGATTTCGGTGGCTCGATCAAACTGCATGGAGTTTGGGCTGGTGGTGTTCCAGAGATTAATAATCTTTTGCACTTCTTTGTCCCGCAAAGCCTCACTGACCGAAGTTAGAGCCTTGCATCGGTAGCGCCAATAGTCGATTTCCTCCAGTGGACCCACGGACACAGATCGGGGTTTGTTTAAATCGCTAATAACCTTGTCGATGGCGCCATCTGCGGAATTCGAAAGGAACTATATTTGTAAACACATGCCACAGAAGGGGTGACTCGGTAAATCCAATACCATTTGAAAACGTAACGCACCATCAAAGGCGCATAAAAGTATTTATTGAGTGAATTCACTCGAGGATTCTATTTGTGTGAATACGGAGTGCATATTCTTGAGTTATGCAAATTGATAGGTGAGTGCTAATTCCGTTGAAATCAGAAAGGCTGACACTAGTCCGAGGACCCGAAAACATTTCCGTGTCAAGCATTGATATTAGTGTCAGATTACCGGGTTTCTTTTGAAACTTCACTTGTAATGGCAAAATGGTGAATTTATGAAGGGTTTATTTCTCTGAATGCATTATTGTTAAAGTGCCTGGCACTTTCAAATCACGACAAATGAATTCAATGATTTAATGTTCCATGCATAGTTATAGAATATACTAGTCGTTAAAAATTCTGCCCCTATCAACACAAACAACAAGTAATTTTAAGGAGCTTTAATAAAAACCGCGCGTTGGAAGCGGACCTTCAAATTGCTGAAGACGCAAACTTACTCCAACTATCCATAAGTTGATGGAGCTTCTCAGCCACATCATCAGGTAACCCATTGATGCATTGGTCAATGTCCGGTACTTGGAAGTCTGGTTCTGGCAAATTAAAGACTCCTTGCAATGCGGAGTCCGTTTCGACTAAGAATAGCTGGAACTTGTGAAGGTTTACGCCGAATTCGTCGCGGAGGCGCTGGGCTTCTGGACTGGGTTTCGCGGGTGCATCTCCCGCGTTGGAGGGAGGAGGCTCTGTGCTTTCTTGATCAGGAGCAGTCTTAGAGATTCTCAGTGGCTCCACAGGAACGCCGACCTTGGATTCTGTCGATTCGCTCTCTTCCTCTGCCATGTCGAGTCCTAATGGACTGTTTTTGTGAGTGAAGTATGATAGAAGTGACTGGTAGACCTAGTGAGGCAAAAATAATACCTACTAGTCAGTCTTGGTAAACTTTTCACGTTCTCAGTTACAAATTGAAGTTTAGCATATGTGGGCACAAACGACCTAATGTGCCTATGATCTGGAAATTACCTAGAATCGGTGGCCACTTATAAGCAGGACGCACTAGCCTTACCTTGCTGATAATGCTATTCGCACACCCGATGATGGGAAATTGGATAGCGCCGATCTCGAGGAAGCTGAGGTATGAGGGAGGCTCTGCACTGCTTGCGAGAGTCGTTTCAACATCTCTGCATCGAATGGCATAGACGTACCGGTCCGCCCCCGACGTCTTCGCTTCGATGTCTGACAGCGGGGGTGAGATGGCGTGTAGACTCACGTGGCGGTAGGTCCTTGCAATAACCTTGAAAGTGGGGGGGGGGGGGGGTTACTTGACAAGATTGGAGGTCATTATATTAATTCGTGTTGACAAGAGTTTTGCGATACCCGCCCGCAAACTTCGACTGCCTTCTTTCTTCATTGAATGACAAAGTTTTGAGGATCTCTGGCGAAAGCCGTTTAGGTTACAAGTTAGACTTTGAGAGGCCTTGAACATACAATTCAATTGGTCAGTGATGTTCTAATCTCATCAGGTTTAATTTAAACCAATTTGGCTCCAATTAAATAACGCCTAACGATTTAGGTCAGGCTTTGAATGGGTTAACGATATCTCTATGAGCAGCATCCATCGGTTTTCTCATTAGGCGCCTTTTATTTTTCGCTTCAGGTCAAGAGAATAAGGAATTAGCTTCAACATATTTCACTTTCGGCCGACTACTGAAGTTAAGTTTGTCAAAATCCAAATGCCTGCATAAATGACAGTGAAATATTTATGTGGCAAAAGGGGTTTTTAAAACCGAGGTGAAAATGACAATTCCCGTGCGGTTCGTGTTGGGTTAAACTGCACTACCGTAGTTGATTAGGGCTAATTGTGGCTGCCAGTGGTCGATGCACTGAAATCGAATCCCCAATTGGTTGGGGGAGGCTGTAAACGCGTGTTTCTAGTCTCTAGTAAAGGCCTGGCGTGCCATCTGGGAAGTGACCGGGTTTTTAAGAGTATGTCTACAAAGGGCAGTCTAGACAGATTGTCTGATGCAAAGGAAGATTCCTTTTTCTGAACACCCAAGGCCTTCTCATTGGGTTGACCTGATATCTAAAAAATTAAGAAGTAAAGCCATTGGCCAAAAGCCTGGAGTAAACGGTCCTATCGCAGTTGATTGAGGCTAATTGTGAAATTACCCGATTGGTTGCCAGAGCCCGACACAGAGTCGGCCAAATTGGAATAGTTTCTATGGGCCTGGTGACCCAAATTGCAATTAACGATGAATTTTGTTTGTGGAAGGAACACCAAGTGTAGAATTTCGTCTTTCACTTGAATGTTCAGCGAAGATATCTCACAAATGAAAGAATGATGTCACTGGTCGTAAGAAAAAGCGCATGTCAGCAGTCAATGAACACCTAACTACAACGGGGAAGCTTCATCGTGGGGTAGACACTGCTTGCTTGTTAGAGGGAAACTGGTTCATTGGGTAGCGCAAACCTTTCGGCAGGTGAAAAAATTGCACACCAGCGATAAAGGTGAGAAGGATAGTTACAAATGCTGCAGTAAAAAAAACCTCGACCTGGATCAAACGTCACCATGTCCTCATAAAGCCCTTCTAACACATGATCAGATCCAAACATTGATCATCTGGCGCTAACTCAAACATTCACAATTAATTGACCAATCGATGACTGAAATATGGAGACAAATTTTCTGATGTCGTGACCCTGTCTGTGATAATCGACTAATTGATAAATATTATCGACTCAAAGCAAAGTGTTCGACGTCGAAATTTATTGCCAGAAGTCCACAACCAAAGACACTGCAACAATTGCCCCGTAGTTTTAAACTGTCAGCGATGCCTCGTTAGTCGAACGGCGTCTGAACTGGTTTATAGGAAGGAGACTAGCATTTAAGAGTCTTCACTACCTTTAGTTACTTCCCGCAAAAATCGATTCCTCTTATTGTACGCGCACGCATGGAAACAAGCGCCAAAATGGTGCTGCAATTTTAACGGTTACAGAGAAATAAGTGTGCTCATCGTGACAGTATCAGCATTCAGCTTTATAATGCTCATCAGTTAATAAGCATAGCAGCGCCTCCTGTTTCACCAAGAGCCTTCAACTGCTCATTTTCGTCCTCAAGGCTGTTCACAGGGTGTAATGACGCCTGAGATTTGTTGAGCAGAAAACAGGGTAGATAGTGTCCGCACTCACGTCCATTAAATTTTTGGCATTTGGCCAAAATATGCTGTGGGATAGTGTAATGATTAAGCCGATACTTCATAACGCAATACTTTTGGACAAAGTCATTGATATGACTTACGTGCTTTGCGGATGTGTTTGGATGAAAAACATGGGGAATCGTAAATTAAAAATGGGTGACTCGAAGACTTAAACAAATGAGGGAAATCAAAGGTTGATTTGGTGTCTTTACTTGTATATATATACTGGCCTGATTTAGGCGCACTAAAGTAGTAGCCTTCTCTGACACAACTTTGGTTAATTTGGTAAAATCGCCTTGAGATGTTGTGGAGTGATGCCACACCGTAATCAGAAATACGTTCAATTTAACTAACGCAATAAAATTGGTTAGGTGTTAGCGAGAACTTTCGTAGACTTACTAAGTACTGCGAGTCATCAGCCTCTTTCTCTTCACCATCTTTATTCTCCTCTTCTTCCTCCTCCTCCTCCCCTTCTTCTTCATCACCATTGTCCTCAACCGCTGGCTCTAGAGCCGGTTCACCGGTGCCCTCATCAAGGTCCAAGTCGGGAAGAGGCTCCTTCACGGTTGCGATTATCTCCGCGTACGTGCTCGCACTACCAGATGACGTTTCAGAGGAAACAGTACTACCAGAGGTTGATGTTGAAATCACCGAAGCACTAGAACGTCTTCTCATCCGAAGAATTTGAGTCCCCGGTGTGACTTTGATTTTGATCAAGTTTCGTTGGTAAGTTACCGTTTTGTAGAAGACCACAGCAACATATCGCTCGTTCAGATCGGATTTCGTGCTTGACGGTATATAGGAAAATAGCTTCTCAACTAGGCTACGTCCTTTCCCATCATCACGGTTACCAAAATCGGCAATGATTTCAGCTTGCTTTTCATTTATCTCAAGCTGCTGACAGACGGTCATGAGAAGCTGCTGTGCGGGTGGGGTAAAACCCACGCTCACCACCCCTTCCATCACACCGCAAAATTTGTTGTCTTTTCTCCCGGCTTCTGGGTCAGTGTCAAAGATGAGGGAAAATTTTGCAGAGCTCGCGTGTAATCAATTAAGTAAAAGTTAAAATCCAATCGATAACGTAGCTTCCATTCAAATGGATATTTAACCATGCACCCGAGTTAAAAATCGCAAATGTACCAAAATGCCACTAGAAATCAAAGGGAAACTAACAGAAGTTGTAGTTTCCGGGACAAAATCTTCAGACACATAATAATTACTCTCTGCTTTTACGTGAATTTTCTAACCAGCATTAATAATAGAATAAGCTTTCACCTGATGTTTCGGGCTTACTTGCTTTAAGACAAGTAGTGATGTAATTTCACTGAAAATACCACTTGTGCCTTCAAATTTAACCCCTTTGCTGATCTTAGCATTTGGACAACGAACACATTGTAAAACACTACGTTCATTTAGTACTTTTGCAAAATATTTGGTGAAGGTTTCGTAAACTATGTCAAAGTCAATAAGCTGGCATTTTTTTACATATTTCCTCTGTAGTTATTTCGAACAAAATCATACGAGAGTGTCAAGATGGAAGTTTTGTTTTATCGCACCAATCACTTTTGCCGTCGAGTTATCCTAATGCTGAATACTGTATTGTGATCTTGATGGTGATGCTTTAAAGGGTTGCTGCAACATTAACTTACTTGCGGTTAAACGAGCCTAAACTGGAAACGCGAGAAATCATAACACAAGGAATGAAATGATCTTTACATTACTTTAAACACAAAAGGTATGCACAAGGACTTTTGCAAACATCCAGCCTAAATAAGAGTTCGTAAAATGCAGTGAAAAAGTTACCATCGACTCTTTCTGATGCCTGGCTTAGTTGCAATAATCGAGCTCCAAAATAATAAGAATCCGCATATTTGACACCACCTGTCACTTCGCCATTGTTTAGTTGTGATATTGAAACTAATGAGACGACTCAAAAAATTTTTGCTGTCTACGGAAGGCACGTCACTACCAAGAATGGAATAGACCTGGCTTTCGAATCTAATGCCAAAAACCTCAACGCTGAACCCCGTTCAGAACACACAAAACACTCTGACTGAAATAAGTCGTCTGAAATTTTGATCGAAAATGGATGGAAAACCACAAGGAGAAAGTTGGAATAGCAAATAAATTTTTATTAGGGACCATTTATCGCAAACTTTTGCAAAAGTACGAAGGTCTAATGACAGAAAGTGGGCGCCTAGTTTCTGGGGAACAGGGACACTAATCGACACCAAAGAAGGTTGATGCATTGTACAGACACTTGCTATTAAGAATATTACAAACATTGGAAAAGGTGGGTGGGATATAATGAGCAAGAAAGGATGCGAGTCAAGAAAGATAGGTTCCCCCTCCCCTACAAAATCGGGCAATCAACAAGTATCACAGTGGCTCCAAGTTACGTGGTTTGAGCAAGGATCTAAATAGGAAGCGGAAGGATTGCCAACTGCGAGTGTTCATGAAGATAGCGCGTCAGAGTGCCGCATTTTACACTCACCATCAAGGCGAATGTAAGACCAAATTTTTTGGTGGAATGTATACTCCAAACTTGTTTACTATGGGAGAAGTAAAAAAAAAGATAAACGATAATATATAAATTGATTAAAATGGCTTTAAATATATTGATCTTCCGTTTTAACTACACATTGATTATAAGTGCACGGAAATGGCATACAAAAAAACAATTTTTTGTTCATTTTGGTGGTGTTCTAGGTGCACATACTCGTTAGTGCAACAATAAAGTATTGCTCTCATAAATAAGCACTATTTTTGAGGCTGGTTATATACTTTTTGATACACGCACTGATTTTACGAGATGAAACACACCTGCCTGGCCAAAAAGCGCTGCAGGTTCGAACAATTACTTGAATTCATTGTCTAATTAAAACCAGTTCAGTTTAAATTGCAAGTTTATTATTATAAGCGAAGCAAAATAGATAGTATTGCTGCGTAGAAATTTAGCTAAAATTGATACTCCTCCATAATTAATAATTTTCTCGCTCAATTTGCACGAAATTTACCAAAGAATTACATTAGAACTTGATAAACAGTCTGTTTGCTATGCTAGATCCTGCAAACCTAGATGTTGGACCAATATTCAGTCGAAGATGCACCAAAACGTGTCCATCTTTATCATTTTACAATTAATCTTGTCAAATTCTATTTTATCTACAGCGCGACGCATCTAAACAGAGTAAAAAGATTAAGTAAATAAGTGATCTTAAATGAATTCGATTTTGGAAAGCTTAAAAGAATTGATTGTAGATATAAGATAGTGGCCTGCCCTACTCTCAAGCCTTTATAAATATATTAAATTGTTAAAAGCTGCTCTTTGGAATTCAATGGCCAGTCACGACAAAAATTTGATACTACGTCACGGTCGATTAAAAAGCAAGCGTTGCTCCACGTTTTTTTATCTTTCCTTCCCACTCTTCGCATTTCCTATTGCACTGAGCTTAGACTTGCACATTTTAACTGTCCTCACCACTCTCCAGTCTTATGCCCACTCCCATTAAATACTTCGCTCCCACACTCATTTTCTTTAGTAAGCTTGGTACCAATTCTTAAAATATCGCAAACCATATTCAGCAATCAGCAACACACTTTGCATTCGGAGCACATAGGCTAATCGCGTTGGAGTGAAAACGAAGTGGGACTACATGGCAGAGAGGATAGATAGCCTCTTACTATAACCATTTTTAAAACAAAATTCTTTTTCATGTTCTGCAGTTAAAGAATAACTGACACTCATAATTAGTCTCTTTTTTATAAATACCGATGAAACCATATTTACAGTCTACAAATCCAAGCCATAAAACTCGGTTAACTAGGTTAGTGAAAAAAATTCAGCATCCAAACAGGTAAATTAGAAAAAATTAAAGTCTAATTTTATGATAAAAGTACATTACACGACAAATTAGAGAGACATATGCTGCTCAAATTTTCTCCAAATGTTGACGTAATATTTTGTTTAAATTCGAGTGAGGGCACCTTTTTGTTTCGCTTGTTACGATTAATATGGTGAAAATCTTCGTTGGTAACCTGAATCCTAGTTCCAAGTCTGCGGATCTAAGAAAGCGGTTCGAACTCTACGGAAAAGTTACTGAGTGTGACATTGTTAATAATTATGCCTTCGTGGTATGTTGCAATTTGAACGCATTGTTAATTAATAGCACATGGAGAATGAAGCTGATGCCGAAGCCGCCATTGCCAAGCTTCACAACTCTGAATTCGACGGTGTCAAAATTAACGTTGAGATGAGTCATGGCAAGAGAGGCGGTGGTGGAGGCCCTATGAGACGTCGTTTTAATGACAGGGGTCCACGGAGGGATTACCGCGATGATCGGTATGGAGGTCCTCCTCGAGCTCCATACAGCCGGGAGAGCCCTCGTGGTATGGGCGGGCCTAGTGGCTATCCTCCAATGCGCGATGGCAGATATGATGGTCCTCCTGCGTGGGGAGGTGACAACTATGGACCTTACCCGCCCAGAGGTCCATCTAGGGGTAGGTTCGTTTTCCACGTTGAACTTTGTAGGCTATGATAGTTACAACAGTGGCTCTCAAGGACGTTATCCAAGTCGTGAATATGACAGAAACACTCGTGCGGCGTCCAGAGACGCTCCCTACGGCGGTAGTTACCAAGGCTCGGCTCCTGAACCTGTACCCCCTCCAAGAGATATGCAACGAAAGCAGTCACCACCGCGCAGTCGGTTTGACAGCTATAACACTGGCTACGGTGATTATGGCAGGTTCCGTGATCATGCACAGCCCACCAACGGTCCTCCTCCAAGATCCGGTGACTATTATGATAATTATGGTAGTTATGGTGGAAGTGGCAGCTATGATTATGGGTAGGTTACATTTTCATATCAATGTTTTCTTAGCTCGCGCGATTACCATGAGAGTGACCGTGGTGGGAACTATGGTTCCTCTTATGACTACGGATACTACGGAAACCGTGGGAATCGTTCCCCCCCAAGAGGTGCGCCCAATTACGGTTATGGGAGGCCTTAAAGGTGAGATTGAGAGCGATCTAGCATACACTTCGTAAAAGATAGGTGTTTCACCTATTCGGGGCGTCCGCTTTCGTTAGGCGTCGGAAATAGTTCAAATTGTCTTATGTTCTTTCTCCAACACGATTTGCGAGGTACATGGCAATCGTAGTGGTAAGGACTAAGACCACAGCGACAAAATATGCGGGACCGTCGGTTTAGGATGTAAAGTAGTCGATATTCATGGGTTGTCATACATGATTGGTGCACTCGTCACTGTAGACAGCTCATGTGGGAATGCTCGTGGGGGCGTCATTTCAGTCTACAGGCGTTAAGGGTGCTAGGTATTTCAATTTGTTGATATTCGTTTGCTGTAAAAGCTTCATTTCGTTGGTATTTCAGCCTCAGCATTGGGACCCGGCGTGTATCGAGAGAAGTCTCGTCCGAACATCCACTTGTATATGCCCGTCGTTAAGTCAATGCGTTTTCGTATTGAATGCTCGAACACCAAATGGCACTCATTCTACTCATCACGTTTTATCCTTTTACCTTCGTCCGTTGGGTTGCGCGTTCTTTTGTATGTAATAAACGAACACATGGTCTCCCTCCGTTTGGAAGTTTACAAGTCATCTGTTTGTAGTTACATCTAAGTCGTCGTTGTAGTCAGCGTTCCAGCCTGAGGTTGAATTTGCCGTCAATTGTTCTTCCGTTTCCATCGTGCTTATAAAGTCCCAAATTGTTCTCGCTCATCTATCACTTTCAGTGATCGCTTGCACCCTCCGTCACTGCACGTCGATGGTTCTCAAGTTTCATTATTACCCTCGTGCTAAACTGCACATTTAGTCGCTAGGTCTCGTTTTGCGTCCCCTGGTTGGTCGTTCACAATGCAATGTCGACATTTCGGTCCGCAGCGTGTCGTGCAATCAAAGTATTGTACGATGGGGAGGACAAAAATCGTTTTTCCATAGCACTGATTTGTCCGGTATGTAGGCTCGTTGTCCGCAATTGCTATCTAGTCGCACCGTGTGGGACATCGCACTCTGTCACTTTTTGATTTCCGTAGTTTTTCGGTCACTGGATTTTTTAATGCATTTCATTTCATGCATTTCCTTCCCTCTACTTGTCATACCTTATTTAATTGAAAATAAAGTTTTCCTTGATGAGTGTCGCTTCTTTCTACAACGGGTTTGGTTTGTCAGGCCTACCACGCTGCCGTCAGTGCAGGCGGACAAAATCCCCTGTGGTATTTCCCTTTAGTTCAATTCTAGTGACCCGTTGGTAAGCTTTTCCCCACCCAAGTGTTGGTGCGTCATAGTTTGTTAAGCGTTCTTCAATCGAATGTTTGCGGGCCATATAGTAATGTGGCATCTGATCACGCGGTTTCCTAGTCAGCTGGACATCGTTCTCGGGCCCCAACCCAGTGCAACGTAATTTGAGGCTTCCCCCTAGGTATTGACGCCACGTCTGGAGTTATAGTTTAAGCAAATGGGCTCGTTTCTTCGTTTAGGTTAGGTGATCTGTGCATGGTTGACGTAAGTCGAACGGTCTGTGTGCATGCATTATAACTGCCGATGATTTAGTAGTTTGGTGTCTGAGAAGCGCCTGCAAAGTGCACAGGTCTTGGATGAAGAGAAGTTGGTTCTCGGCATTAATGAGGAAGGAAATACTAAATCGTGAGAAAAAACAATGGGGTAAAAAAAAATAGGCGCGCATGGATGGCTGTTCACCGGCACGTCAGAAGTTTGCAAGTAGGGACATGGTGTATTTTCACGTTTCTATTAGCCCAAATTCCATATATGGAAAACAAAGGATGGCAGCTCCTCGCGACAAGCATTAAGTACGTTTGGCTGGGAAAACTCGATTCTTATAGACGCTAGCTTGCCTCAGCTTTTCTGTTCTGTTTTGAAAGCCGATAACCAGCGCCAGGACGTCCCACTCACACCGACCCCCAATTATACACATAAATTTGAAGACCTGTTCGGCCGGTTAGCTGATATCTTAGCCGACTCCTACTGTAGAAAAGCTACATACCTAGGAGCTGTGGTGGAAGTGCCTCGTAAATAGCCTCGAACTTGGGAGCTCTTTATTGCAACGACACCTGTTTTTGTCATAGACCACTGATCTAGCTATTGGAAATGTTAGTGAGCAAGGCAACTCTGGAAGGAAGTCGGAAGAGCAGGCCGTCACGTTGCAAAGTAGGTGCCTCGATCCACAATTTGAGAATGCCTACCGCCCGGCTGTAAAACGCTCTTTCTTCGACCCACTTAATCAGTTATTAAATAGTTTCCAGATAAATATTCATACAAAGATTTAAAAAAAAACATTAATACTTTATACACGTATACAGTCACACACTCCGAAGCACCAATATATAAAACAACGCAGCTAAAAGAAATTTTTTCTCCTCTCTTCCCTCATAGCGCGTTTCTTGGCGATTTCCAATAAATCCGGAGATGTCTGCGATGCCTTCGTAGTCACGCGGGTGCTTTTAGTTTTCTTCACAATCGGAATGTCTTCTTCGTCGCTGGGCTCAAAAGCGTCAAGATAGGACACGGGCGCCTTGACTCGAGGGCTTCGACGGCTTGGCGACACTAGCTCTTTAAGGTCAAGTTTCCGCCGAAGTCCAGCGGTGCCAACTCGATCCACTGCTTGGTGCGCATTGGTTTTGGTTGGACTGGAAGGCGAAGTGGCATTTCGTCAATAACTACAGCGCAGAGAGCTTTTGAGGTGTCCCGTTAGCTAGTGCACCTAATCACCTCAGTGGTTCCTTGGTTATCTATTGCATTGAATTCTAAACAGTATCCACCTATCATCTCACAATTTCTATTCACTTATAGTGTGATTTACGGCACAATTAGGCTTTAGCGCTGTACGCCAAAGATGCTTCGAGCATATTCTCAGAGACCTGCCGACTTCATGGAAGCAAACCACCTGACCAAGCTTGCAATCTCAACGTTCTAGAAGCTAAAACGCACCTCCATGCTTCGTTTCAGTTCCTTGTGTTTGAAAAATAAACAGGATGCTTAGTGAAGAGGACTGGTGAACAGTTTACTTACTGTGACGTCCCACAGACTTCGACGGTCGTATTTCCACGAGCCCTGGAACTCTTTTTGACTGTCGTCTCGGGTTTAGGCGTGACCTGCAAGAAATGTGTCACAAGCATGGCATGATACAATACAAACTAGATGTTCAAAGGGTTTACATAGATAGGCAGTGTGCATGGCGAATACACTAGGTCTTGCAAATGAAAATTTGTAAGATTTCGGGTGATTTCTATCAACAAATGTAATCCAGAGGAAGTGAAGCAAAACGAGAACTTGATTCCATTTGAGGGAACCGGGTTTCTAGCCAAGGAACTATTAGTAACACGGCTAATTTTCAAAACCACCACTACCACGTGATAACTAGTGTACAACTTATGTTAAGCGCGCCGGCGAAAAGGGCTGTACCTTTTTTGTATTTGGTGTGCGTTTACTCTTGGGGAGGGCCTTGTCAGTGTCCTGGTTGACTTCGGAGAGGACGTGCTTCGGTCGTTGGCCACGAGCAAGATTCTTCGCCAGAGACGTCAGCAAAGCGACAATATGGTCATAGTCGGGTTCTTCCGTATAATCCAAAGAACCTACCGTGCTTATTAAAGATTCAAGAGCTGAAATAGGCAACAGAAAATTCAATTATAGAGATCCAACTCAATCAAGCGTCATGCTGGAAGTGTTCAGCCCTTCCAATCAGCCTACTGGTAAATGGGTCACCAATCCTTTCAAAATTCGACAGACGTCTAACTCTTAACTCACAACTAAACTTCGTACCACTTACTGATTTCACATTCATGCCATGGGTACCCACATTTTGGATCGTTTGTACGATTTGAATACTGGAAACGGGTGAATAAAACGACAAACAGTGAGTCTCGATTAATACCAAAGTACAGTGGTGTTTGGCAGCAAGGCGTGTCGATAGATGATAAAAGAACTGACCGGGTTGGGCGCCAACATTTGCTGCTTTAGCCAGAGACGAGGGATTCGCCATTGCTTCCTGCTTGGACTTCACAACGAGGTCTCGAACTGCAGGAGGGACGTTCGCACGCACCGAGGGATCTGAGGTGGAAGAGTAATTTGAAGTAGTGGATTGACCCGCGATTGCGTTTTTCAATCAATCAGTGACACGTAGCACCAATCACTATGCAAACATGGGGGTGCAGGGAGAGATGCAATGCCTAATTAGCGATTCTAGCAAGATGCAACTGTGACGACGCTCATTATCATCGGAAGGAATGAGTTAACCGCTAGCTGGGGCAGAAACTCGAATACTGCTACGCAAAATCCACATAAGCCTCTCTCGCCACAAAAGTAAGCCCATGTAGTTTCGGTGGGTGCCTGAGTGCCCTGCAGGATCCAGGCGTAGTTGGTTAGCTGGACAGCTTGCACTGGTGCACCAATGGTTGAATACCCACTCACCTGCGATAAACGACTCCCACGGAAGGCCGGAACAGGGCCCCTGCGGAGCATTTGGTCGCGACCGGTAAAGCCAGTGAACGACATTGAAAACGAGGATCTCGAGATCACCTCTGCGGGAAGGCGGTAGACCTAGAGGACAGCGGTGGAATAGACCGTGAAATAGTTGACAGCTCTGCTTTACTTGAGATATGAGGTCAAAGATGCTGCCAATATCCATAGCCTATTCTACGATACGTCCATAGCCAGCCAGGACTGATATTTCGTAGATACACGTTGGCCAGAGGTGCATGAGCTCGACTAGCACCGTTCAGTAGACGAAATTGCTATCGAGTGTACACAGAGTCCACATTCCCGCCTCGTTAGGTGTGAACAGAGCCCCCGTACCTTAGAACAGTATGGCAGTCCGTTTCAAGTAGGAAATGGGAACAGTTACCAGCATACTACAGACTCAAATATGCCCGGAGTTATTTCTGAAGAGACGCGAGTCAACGCTATTGAAGTTATTTGGTACCATTGTATACTAACAATTAGACAATTAGGCAGAAATCGAGAGGATCTATTCACAATTACAGGAGAACTGCCGAAGGGCTCACTATCCATCAAAAAAATGAACAGGTCATTAGTCGTACACCGTGAACCTGGAGGATTTACCAGGCAGACATGATCGGGTATCGAGAAAAAAACAAGGACGATTTTTCAAATGGAGGCAATTTACCGGCGTGTGCGTCTCGCGAGCAGAATTCAAGAGTTCCGTTGTCCTTGAGCTTATGAGAGACCTTCTCTGCCTTGTGCTTCCCTCCCACCTTGTACTGAGTGACCAGACCGAAGTCAGCGAGGTAAAACTAAACACAATGCTACGCATGAAATGGCATCACGTTAATTATAGCTTTCGCCACCTCTAAGATGCCAAGGCTTCAATGGTGGCGGCGAAATTACCGGCTGAGAGAGACAGGGGCTTAGTTAGTTCCCGTGGCTAGTCACCCGCTGACTTATCCTTCTCACTACAGTGTTGACGCCTAGGTTAGGAAATTGAGCTGTTCGCACCATGATCGCGCGATTAGAAAGTCCGGCAAAAACTCGAGTGATCACCTGTGGCATTGACGGGCATTCAGGGGAACCTGTATGCATCTTTTCCGCACCCATCTACCGCCGGAGCTAGAGTCAAAATTCACGTAAAACGAGTTTAACTATCTCCACAGTACCATCACTTCCATTTCGTGATATCTGCCTTCATGAAATGGAGTTTAGTATTTCGTGCGATTAGAAGTCAATAAACGATATTCCGGAGCGCAAATACGCTGATCACGACTTTGTGAGTCCGTACTATGTAATGAGATCATGTCGCTTACAGCAAAAAATGACCTTGATCATCTATACAGTTAGCCTGCACCCGCAGAGATTTTTTTCGTGGTTCGCATGTTTACTTGTGGTTTTGCGGCTCCGTAGTGCTTGACCTTTCACGAAAGTCATATTCCAGCATTTTCAAACCAGCCTTCCAAAGAATTGACAGTTCTTTGATTGTTGAAGGATACCAGAATATCAGGGGTTTAAACGCATTGGACTTTGATAGAGTGCATGACAGATGACATCTGACGATGCATTAAGCAGCAACAAGTAACTCGATATTCGATTTAAACGAGAGATTTTGGTGTTACGGAAGATCGGATGCCTTTGAACACTTATCAAACACCGCTATGAAGTTAACGAGCTAAAGAACTTGGGGCAATTTTGCAAGAATACCAGCAAATTAGTTCCAATAGCGGGTGCATGCGACGAATGAGGCACAAAAAACGAAAAACCCTACCTCGTCTTTTGCACCACGAAGAAGATTCGAGGCCTTGATGTCGGTGTGGACATAGTCTCTCGAGTGGATGTATTCTAGTGCTTGAACCTGCAACAGTCAAAAAAAAGAACTTTTATGCAAGCTGACGAGAGCTGGCAGTGCCAGTCGTAGCTTACGCAGCTCCATCCACTACCCGATTGTGATCTAATTCGCCAGTGATTAAGGCGAAAACCAAACATGGACGAGTCGAGTGAAGAGGTGGCAGTACAGGGCCAGCAGCATTCAATGTCACAAGATACCCAAGATGAACACCCACCGCCAATTCACGCCTTCGGTATATCAAGTGCGGAAACTGTCTGTCTAGAGCATTTCACGAAAATTCACACTAAACTTCCTCGTTCTGTGCCACTTGAGTGTACAAATAGTTTAAATCTATACATCCTGGTTCACACGGAAATGTGAAGATCCCGCCGGCCGATAGGGATGATGCCCCAGCAATCTAGACAATACTGAAACACCGGATCACTCGCCTTGAAATGTCCCGGAATAATCCCACGTGGTACTCTAGACCCCCAATCAGGTCTCTCGAGATGATTTGGGGATCCGTCGTTTCGCGAGCTCATCTACACGACCGCCTCCAAAGTTGGACGCGTCTACAGACAGGACCTTTCTTAAGTGTTACCACGTTGACGCTTTTGAGCAAAAAAACGACGCTCTGAGGCATCCGCATTGATGCCCTAATGAGCAATAATGGCTAACACATCAACTGACATGGTGCTTCCCGACATATTCACACAAAGCCATTCGAACATTCTGGTCGCGGTGCCACATCGCCCAGCAGCCACACTGTTTGTGGGACACATCCAACCAGGCGTCCGTGCACTTCAGCGACACAACTAGGCTAGGCCATTAAAAAAATGGCTTTTTCGCAGCCACTTCCGGTTGTCTTAACCCCCTCGGGAATCTGCGCGATCGAACTAAGTTGCCCGCCCCTGCATGTCGTGATCTGGACGTTCAACTCGGGACGACAACAACAACAAACACTCCAGCGAAATGTTGTAACAATCTCAGCAAGCATAAGTGGCCTGAATCTGTCGAGATGCAGACCACGTTCTTGTTTATTGGCTGACTACGATCACACTCGCACGTTGATCCGTCCAGTTTGGGCAACTATTGGTGACCATTGGTGGAATCGAGCGTGGAATTTGGCCGCAATACCTTGTGGCGCGCGAAGCCTCTCTAACCTCAAGGTAAACATAACGAAGGCATGCGAATGAGCCCTTGCTACTATGTCTGAAGATTTATCCCGCTTGGACCACTGCACCCCTCAACATTGTCACTAAAAATAACCCTATTTTGTTGCAATTGATGAACTGTGTGAGAGAAAACATATCTTCACCTCGGAATGAAATGCAGTCCACAAATCTTCCATCACTGAATTGATGTGATACGCGGCTCCTGTAAGTGTTTGAAAACTTCAGTGACACTAGGGCTGTGTCACGCGATTTCCATTGCAAGGAGAACAGGCTGGCCGTGTATTGGTTAATGCAAATTTGCAAGGCCGCGCACAGCTTACCGTCTGGATAGCAATCCGAGGAATGTCGGCCGGCGTGAACTCATGCTGCGCTAGGCAGTTCTCAAGGGAACCACGAAAACGATCCATGACGAGGAAACGACAGGATTGCCCATCCGAGGCCCGAAAAAGACCCTTCGCAACAAAACGTGGGATTCCCAAGAAGGATAGACCACGTCTCTGCTTCCACTCGTCTACTGTCGGAGGAAACAGAGCAGAAAAAGGCAAGGCGAGGCATTAGTGACTTGGGCAAGATATGCAGGAAAATCACCTCCAATTCTACCACCACAACTTACACAGATCCTGTTTACAAACTCGAGTATAGAAATGTGTTTCGGTAAAAAGAGGGCCGTTTTCCTGAGGCTCCTATAGGAATAAATTATGCCAGTAAAAGGAGACTCACAATCTTGATGACAAAGTTCTTCGCTTGTGGATGTTGTTTAGAAGAGGCTGAAAGCAAAAAAGCGCAAAGCACACTCTTGTGTGTCTGGCAACAAAAGAATCACAAGGCGCATTTTTAGATTATACCCATTGGGGAAATAGTGGTATTAACGATTATCAATGTTGGCATTTCCAGTGTACTGGGTGGGTTTCGAGTCCACGTAATGGAGCGTTCAAGAGAGGCAAGTGCAGGCTTCATGAGTGTGCGTTTTTACATTGTTTCAAGCGCTGTGGAAGGAAAACCACACTCAGTTCCAGGCTGAAGAGACTCAAAAACGATCATTCGTTGAGTTACCGTTCTAAAAATCTACTGCACGATTGTTTTATCGCACGTACAATCCACAGTTGACACACAATTGCACTAACGAGAGGCGGCTGAAAGTGTAGACGCTAGTTTATTTAGTTATAAATATACTACTGTTAGGAGCGCTTAAGAGGCCTTAGAAGGGTCTAGAATACTGTGCACAAGCTACCTAGGTGCCTCAACGGCAATCAAGCATGATATTACAAGTCCTACCGGAGTATAGTCGTCCGAAGCCACCCTGACCAATGGCCTCCCCTACGATCCACACATTTGACCGTTGATCGGAAAGTTCAAGACCTGTGCTGATTGGCTTGGCAATGTTATATGCCCTTTTTGACGCAACTCGCGGCATGGCAGCTATAATCGAAATAATAAATATTGCACTGTTAAAATCTAACAAGGGTGAGGGTCTCAGCTGAATTTAGAAATCAACTAACTCTGGCAAAAAAATCCGTTTCCGGAACTATATTATGGAGCGCTTTGTAGGAGTTCATATGTGACAACATACTTAACACGTTATATGACTCTGTAGAGTTGTAAAATTAATACAAACCTACTAAATAACACGACAACTTAAAAATGCATTTACAAAGACCCACGTATATTCGTTGATAAAGTGTAGACTATATGCTACAATACAAAGTAAGGGAACACGGTGTTTTTTAAAACGGTATGTTTTTGCGTTTAATTACGAAAAGCTTGACAGCTGACTCCAAGACAACATGGCAAATAAAGGTTCTTAAGTTGAGTTCGGAAATAAGTTCTCATAAAATAATATTTTCAGGGTGAAAGTCGTAGAGGGCAAGGAAACTATAATCCCTTAAAAACTGGAGGTTTCTGCCAAAAATCCAGGAATTTAGAACATTGAACAAGTGAGAAGGTCCCTGGCAGCTTGCACTTGACTCTGGGTAAACAGGTAAATGATGGATATCAAAAGTAATTTTATAATTTTGCGCAGAATAAGGACAACTAGATAGGACGCCATTACAACACAACCGGAGTCAATGATATTTGTCATTATACTTCAGGATCACCTCTAAAATTTAACTAGCACCAGTAATGTGATTACTGGAGTATCAGCAGGTTAAGATCCTTGAATTGTCGAAATGAACAATTTGGCATTCTGAAAACATCAAATCTAATTAACAGCCCAATTCTCGATAGTGCAAACAACACATAACAACGATTTCGCATCGTATACCATATACACTACCTCGAGATCACCGTGAATGTATTGAAACAATTCGACAGTAAAATTATATAAAAAGCTTTAACCAATAAGGAATTTCATAACTCCCGAGTTCACCAAGTACTTAACATTACAAACCACATCTACGAATATCGGATAAAGGGAGTCTTATTTAACTAAAAGCACCAAGTAAATCATAAGGGAGAGCCAACAGAGATAAACCATTCTAAGTACACCATTCTAAATAAGCCGCAAAACGAAAAAATGAAAAAAGTCACCAAATTGTTAATGCCCTTAAATTCGGATTTTTTTAATTTTGAGTGTTTTAAAACGCATAATAACTGTTACAACGATTTTGCTAACCAGGTAGTTGCATTTCTATCACCGTTAAATAGGATTCTTAAGCAAGACCAGGGACAATTTCATCTACACTTGTGCAAAGTAATGATATCAGTGTCTAGTTTGTATTTTTCTGAGAAAGTGTTATTAGCAAAATATCACCCATATCTGCAAATTTTATGAAAATGGAATGTTTTTAGTATAACATTATTAAATTTACCATTTTGCGCATTATGTTACCGAATTATTAGCTTGAATAAAATTGTTAACCTTTAGGAATGCGTTATAAAGTCTTCAGTTTTTTGATCATCAGCATTTAAAATATATTAATTACTTCCTAATGATTATTGAAGTAAGGACAAAATGTTGTATCCTGACCCTTCTTTCGTTTAAGTGAAATGAACGCAGCTTAACCGGCTTGGCCATTATTCCTGAGAGAGTTTTTGTAATTAAAGACTTAACTAGCCCCACAATAGCATAGAAATAAGGTTTTAAATTTAAACTTGTTTTTCAGCTATTTAACTAACCAGGGGCTTTTGAAATATTTTTACAAACCGATAGGTTTCCGAGTCACGCTTGTTTTCCGAGATATTTTGACATGGCAAGTGGCCCTCCGTATAAAACGTTGCTAATATGTCTGTTCAAATTAGTACTAAAGCATGCTTTTTATTTAAGACTCTGTTTAGATGTGTAACAGGGCTTGCAGCAATTTACGCTTGCGGAAAATAATTAACAATTTCGAAATTCGAACGTCAGAAATTATGAGAATGCACCATCAGAAATCTAAAAAAATATTGGCTTGCATATATTCTTTATATTACCAACAACATCGTTAAGTTCTTTTAATATATATCAATGTCCCATGTGAACACTAACTCAATGGCATTCTCTCAAAAGTATTGGCTTGAGAGAAAAATTGACCATGACCTGAAATTGATTTAACCATGATAATGTCGTAATCTGCTGCGTGGTTCTAGCGTAAAGTTTCTCTTCATTTGCTTCAGCCTTTAGTGTTATTTTATGCAATATAGCTCATATTGGTTTAGCATGCCGTGGTCGAGCGTTGCCATCGTGTGTTTAAACATGTGAAATTGAGCGAGATGATGACTGCATGGATATGTACATACTCATGCTTTTTTGTGACTGCGATAAAGATACCAACATAAGTCAGTTTGATTCCTTAGTAGACATGATTTACTTAACCGGAAAAATAGATGAGTTGTTGTGGTAGCTGTTAATGGCGATCTCTTAACTAATCGAGGAGTGGGTTACAAACGGACGTCTGAATATTTATTCACCAGTGTTAGCCATATTTTCACACTTTTAGCTAATTTTTGAGTTTGAACAGCAACTTGCATTGGCTTCTCGCGTAATATATCAAGATATTGAACTGAGTGTACAGCTGTTGCGGCAGCTTCCATGGTTAGCATTGAAATGGGTCAGTTGTCCTATAAACGCCAGGTGGGCATCACAGCTGTCGTACAAATCCAGTCAGTAACTGATCATAAAAAAGTAGTTTATGCAAGATGGATATGTTTGAGTTGATACTTCACGCGACAACAGCACACCTAACATGGAAATCACTCGAGGTAAACAGGAATTTCGTTTTTTTAGTTCAGGTAAGTCAGGTTTATTGTTATGCACAAGTTCATTAAAGTCGTTAAAAAACATTTCTGACAGAATCCAATGAAAAGTAAGGGTTGGTCACAGATACAAATCAGCCGTCACTATACCAATCCTTACGAGCTTCCACTGGCTGCATATAACTGAGGTTTCTGTGAGTCCATTCAAAATTACCAGGCTAATGACTACATACTTAATTTTTTGATTGAGTTTAGTTTTATATTTTACATCAGCCTTCAATCGTTATGCAGATATTAGCAGTTTTGTTTTAGCAACCCGATTAACAGCTAATAACCTTACCTCTAATATGATTTGGAAAATGCACAGATAATGCGCGAAAACGGCATAAGGGACGATTACATTGAGTATGCGAACATTCCAGCACTTACTGCGCGTATTCATTCTTTTTGTCCTCATTTATACATTGCGATGCTGCAAAAACCCCCAAGAAACGTCTTACCTTTTAAGAATGCATCTGTTTGGCCACACAATGCAACACCAGAAATTTGAAGATGACGATTTAGTTTCATTTTATCCAGGTATCTTACTGTATAAACCTAGCAATATGATGAATAGCATCGCGGTTGCAGAACTGTCACATCTCTACCGAAAATTGTTGCAGCGTTGATGCAGAAAATATTTACTTGGCTTTTAAATTTGCCGATGACATTAACGCTGTATCAAGAATTGGTATTATCAGAAGCCAATTAGATTTTTCCTTTCCTATTTTTTTAAGTATGTGTGTTGAATTATATAATTTTTTAGAACCATTTATTCAATCAATTGAGCTCTCACTAAGTGAGATATTTGATACTGGTGTTAAGAGCCAGCTGCCACCTCACCAGATAGCAACGTCAGTATCTAAATTGTATTCCGCAATAAGGTCTATAATCAGCATGCCTGAACAAATAGACTACTTGAAAGCAACAATAAAGTAAGCAAAGTATTAAGCATTTCAAAATGCAATAGAAATGTATTGCTGGAGCTGAAGCTGATTTCGGCTACGCAACTCACAATGCTCAACCCAGGACTTCAACACTGTTTAAGCAACGAGGCAGAGTTGCTAAATTTTCTTGAAATCGTGAATTCTGACTCCACCGATATTACTGCGTTTAAAATTCAAGACGAATTGGAGAATAATCTTGTTAAATACCTGCAGCACTTTTCATTTTTTATCGAGGTATGTCTATAACGTAAGCCTTCTCAGTTCAACACTTTTTTTATCATTTTTGTCAAGCATTAATATACAGCTATCCCTTCATAGATCTTATCGACATTTGAGCAGCAGAAGTTGTCCGAGTCTTGTGCCGCGGGCTTTGAGCAATTGTTCTTTTGTCGTCTTTGTCGAAGTCATAACACCTCAATGACTAACACGGGCGAAAAAGACAGAGTACCTCAAGTTATCCGCCTTGTTGGAACTCCGTGCCCTAACAGGTGTTTAAATGTAATTAGAGGATGTTATGCAGGTCTGACAGGAGTCGTGCCTCAGTTATCACAATTAACCAAAGACTTCATTGATTTAAGTCGTTTGCTCGCTCAGGTGACTTTCAGACCCAAACATACTGGCGGCGGATTCTTGCATTACCACTTTCTTGAGGAAATGCATGCATGGAGTAAAAAATTGCAAAACCTGACACAAGAGAATTGGACTTCAATTAATCAAAAGGTATGTTGCGGGTCGATTAACTTTAGCAATATCTTGCGTGCAGAGTTCTTCGCAAAAAAAACAAAATGTGTGTTTTTAAACTATTTGTAAGCCCTTAGACCTATGCAGAAATTAAGCGTGTGAGAAATGTTACTATTGCCAATTTGACCAAGCAAATCGTAGTTCAAAATTACTCCTATAATATTTTTTCATGACGCCTTCATCAGAAAAACACTGCCCCACTTTGGTGCTTTGGGAATAAAATATGAAATATGCATTTTATTATTTTATAACTTCGAATAATCAGGTACTTTGATTGGCCTGCTATCCACCCTTTGAAGTCAATATGTTTTTAAAATCACATGTTTGATATCGCAGTGGTGTATGATACCTTTTTGCAAAAAAATAAAGGGTATTCAATGCATGTTATTCGCAACTAAGAACAAAAGCAAAGTTGACAATTTCCTTCACATTTACTGCTAAAACTTTGAAACGAGAAGTGTTTCTTGAGTCATTTTGTGTTTTTGCATTTCAAAATAACGTCAAATTCACAATACTTAGCAAAATAACATGACAATTATTGAGGATTAAAGTAAAGAACATTAACGTTCAGCAAACTGAATATTTAGTTTGTATGTGTTAGTGAAATGGATAAGATCACTTAAAAGTATCAACCAATAACAGCAAAGTCAAAGGTTAGATTGCGCTAAAAAGATAATGCCATCAATTTGGCAGCCTTACAAGTGTTTCTAGAGCTGCTTCTATGGAACCAAACCCTCAGAAGGGAAAATAGGCCAAGTTTGGTAACTCACAAAGAATGCGCAACTTGTGGTCTTGTGGGAACTGGTCAATCTCGGTTGTCGTACCTAGCGTATACCCCTGACCTTGAACAACCGAGCTAATTTTTCAACTTCAGAGTTGTGTAATCAGTGGTCTGATTACAATGGCTGAATATTTACATGCATGATAATTCGTTGGAAAATATTCGAGCTTAATTGCCGCCCTGACATGCCATAATTGAACCAGCATCTATTTTCAATTTTAGATTTTTTGCTGAAATGAAAGCCAGATATTAGTATTTTTATTAATTTACAGGCAAGAAATTACGATAAAAATGTGTAATAAATTACTGTTCTCTTACAGAGGCGCCATGTAGTAAGGACAGCATCATCTCAGATGGTTCGTCTACATAAAACAAAAGCAGAGTCAGTAGTCCGAGTGTTCTCCTTTTCGTGCTCAAAATGCTATTTTTTATGCATGGATTTCAGTCGATGGTGTATGGGTCTTTCTGAAACGCGTAACCCGTCAGTCACACAACATGTTGCTTGCAAACGCTTAGTGTTTTTCTAACTACGTAAGTACTGGTATGTGCCTTATATTTTGGAGCCAGAATCTAGTCTAAATCTTCTTGAACAGCGGGACAGGAAAGTTAAGGTTCGATAATGGATAGTCGCCTTCAAGCTCAGCGGGATCTGCTACAGATCCTGTCTTTAGGAGTAATTGAAGACCTTCCTGAACAAATGGCTGATCTATAGAGACACCTACTTACCTCGATGAGCCCTACCTACTTTTCATAAGTCGGTTCACTGTGCTGAGGGAACCTATTTCCATCTGACAATAGTTTCGTGTGGTTTTACATCAGTGGTTTATGAGGTCCCTTCCGACCGTGATGCGTCCCAAAAGGAAAAAGGGCAGACGTGATAAGTGAGCGTCATGAACTAGCAGTGAATTGCTCATAACAAAACCAAAACATCAAGAACCTCACGACGAAATTCAGCCACTGTCGTAAGTGTTAAATTGGCACATTTGTGAATGCATCCCGAACATGTAGAATGTAAAAACCTTCCCGATGAGAAAAGCGCAACGGCAGTATGGGGAACAGGCTCACGATGCGCGCAAACGTCTACAGATAACTCACTCTGCAGCTTCATAACCGTGCTTCGCAGGCTCTTTAGTGGACCTGCTTGTGTGCCACCACGAGTGGTTCTCGGTCCTGTCCAAAAAGGAGGACACGCTGTGTGCAACCCGATCACGCTTCGAAGATCTCTAGTCATCGGCAAGGCGTGTTACTAGGCTACCATCCAGGTGCGCACAAGTCGTACAACCTGAAGTCCCACCTGTCAAAGCGCACTCGAAAAAGACGCAATTGTAACCGAAGCCCGCTACCAAACACCCTCGGCTACACTCTACGAAGTGGGACAAAGTACATGTTCCATCGGTTAGAGAATTTGGCCACTTGCAATCGAGCTCTGGTTTCGTTGACTCAGGCGGTTTGAGCCAGAGTGGTTTGGTGGAACTAAATTTAAAAGGCTGGATTCTATCTTCTATCTCCTTTCCGCTAACGACGTGCCTAGCCAAAACAACTAACAGCTTTGCTAACCGGATGCTTTAAAATGCTAATTTCTATGTGGAATTGTAATTGCCGACTGACTCTAGGTCATTAGGCTCGACTGTTGTCGATAAAAATACCTTCGTTTACAATGAGGTCTCGTGCCACAAGTGGGTGAACTGATTAGCCCTTCTTTTTCTTAGTGAGAGCTCACGATTAAAAATAAGTTCTTTTCAAAATGTTAATCCTATCGCAACCAAAGCTTGTCTAGTTATTACAAAAGGTTTTTGCTCTTTCACGGCTTGAGTTTGACTTGATCGTGGAGTTGTGGAGTGTGAAATCCGTCATAAAACAAGAAATTTACCATAGAAGGTTTCTTTCGGGAAACCAAAGCAAACAATGTTACTTTTACTCAGTATCTCGTTATGCAAAACATACATACTATATGGCACCTGCCACGCCCACTAGCAACGGAAGTAACTTAAAACTGACAGCTCAGTGTTTGATCTTGTGGTAGCAAGCCCGCTCTCCCAATACCATCCTCTTCGATTGCCGTATCTGAGATACCGCGCACTAGAATGCCATTAGGACATTGAAGGTGGCAATTACGAACCTCATGACCCATTTGTTCGGATGCAGGCCGAGTAGTTAGAGCGAAAAATAGGCTTGCGTGAAAACTGACTTTACTCAAAAATTGGACAAGGTAATATTTGACTTAGAGATGCTTGCATCCGGGTAAATTGACGTGTCTATTAGTGGGATTTAGTGAAATTGGTTGCATTTCTGCATTGTTTTAAATTATAAATTGATAAAACCTGCAACCTCATGTAGGGTGAGAGAGATAACTTCGTGAGTATGTAATGAACTCTTAGATGTTTTTTTTTTAAACTGACTTAATCAGACAAACTAGCACAGTCACTTGTAAAGAGTAAACGGCATAATTTTACCCTGACTCATGACATAAACACGCTGTCTCATTGTACCTTCTTGAATGCATCAGATTAGCTACTTGCGTCCTCGGATGTGTGACTCGTGCCACATTGGCGCTTGGTTGAGTAATTTTGCTAGTTAGACTGCGAATCTCGCAATATTCAGCTACGAAAAAGGTGAAATTGCACAGTCAACTTCGTTTCTAGGTTAAAAAACAATGCGCGGGAAATCCACCTGTTCAAAACGTCGACCTCACAAGCCCCGATTGGAAGGCCGAAGTTGCCGAGTTCCTCTGGGACGCCACCGAGCAAGCAGTGCGCAATTATTCACGCGCACATCAAAGTCGAACGGCAGCCGAAATCTGGACGTTGAGTGATGCACGCGACGAGTCAGTTTTTAATAAACTGAGGATGGAGCAGCAGCAGAGTTACGTCAGAATGGAGCAGTTGATTGAGCAGTTTATGGTGCCGGAGAGGCTTTTTGGAGAACACCTGGGACAGACTTGTCTTATGGGAAGCAGCGAGAACTGCTGGAATGGTCATAAGTTCACAGAGTAAGTTGGTACTGCATAGAATCCCATGAATGTCTGGCGGCCCGGGTTCGTACGCGTGTTCAAGCAATGCGACGTTCCAGATGGAGTAGTCATTGATGGTGGCTACTTCGCTTTAGTTTGATTTCGAAGCAGGTTCCGTACTACAGTTCTAATTTTATAATTGATGTGCTTAAGTATTGCACACAGGTCTACACCTAGCTCCTCCTTGTTGTCACGATTTAAAATATTGTACCAGAAATCACGCAAACGGCGTTCCGGAATGTGGGTGACTACTTTAGATGACCTCGTCGCCAAACCAATCCAATATGAGTGAGTTTGCATGCCTCACAATAACCGTTCATTGTGGTGTTACGAATAGCGCACCATGCAAATGTTCAGGTCTATGTACGTTTCGGCCATCACGATACTGCTTGAAGACAAATGGACAAAAATTAACTAGCACTTTATGGAGGTTTGCTAACGATCCGATATACTTCTTTAAGCCCTGACTTCAGCTATCACTTGTATACCTCAACAAACGGTTTGTTTGGTTACATATTGCTATTTATATAGAGATATTTTCAGCATGCAAACTACTGGATAACAATCAGCGAATGAATGCCAGGCCTTAATTCCTGAACTGAGGTAAGGCATTCGAATAATATTACCAGTAATACGATTCAATGTGGTCCATATTAAGTAAAAAAACTCATCAGAATCCACGTGAATGCATTCCTTGTGTCTTTTTATTATCAAACGGAGGCAGTTGTATCCTTACAGGACCAAGGGCAATGCATTTTTTGGTAAATAAGACCCAGATATACCCCAATCAGGTCTCAAAATTTCAATTTCAGAATCAATTACAACATCTCTAATAGCTCTAACCACATCGAAGGGCATTATAATTTGAATGTTCATCAATTCGCCGAACGATGCGTAACTTGACAGCTTTTTTCCGAAACTACGATCGTGATATGACTTGAGCACCGCCCCAAGCAAACACCTATAATCGTGTGAATGGAAGTTAACAAAACAAAGTTAGCCAACCGTAATCTTTGAATTATATGGTTTGTGTTTAGATCGAAACACTGATATCGAGATGGTCTACTTCTGTAGAAAATGCGCACACGTTAAAAGATGAAAAAACTGATTCGTCTTTGTAAGATAGGATTAGGTCGGCATGACCTATTCTAGACGCCAGCTAAGTGTACAAAATGTTCAGGCTGAAACAATAACCTTGTCGAACAACACTAGATTCCATCTTTTGAAAAGGCGATTTTGGCAAACCACACATTCATATCCAACTCCCCCTAAGGGAAGATCTCGATAAACAGTGGCAAAATAAGAACAAGGCAAATTAGTCAAAAAAAGAGCATCATAACGAAATTTCCGTTCTAAATCTTCTCTGCGCACCTACGCCGCATCATTGCGGTCATATCACGCTGTTTTTTAACGGGAAGAAATGAAAAACGAGGCTGGTGGTAATTTTTCAGAGCTGACTTGAGGTATGCCTCTTTCGTAGCACAATCTTCTCAGGCCTGTCCGTAGCTTCCAGCTCATGGTGGCGTGGATTGTGATGTTCCGAGCATTCGATAACACTGGCGCCTGTAGAAATATAGACATAACTTGGCCAGTTATATGATTGTTTTCAAGTTAAGAACTGCAAAGGAGATCAGCCCTACTGCCTTCTCTACCGAATTGGTTCAAGACGTGTCGGTGCTAAAGGAAAGGGGGGATTAAAGAGGGAATTTCCACCATCGTTGTCGACTGTTTTCCTTCAAGTTAATAATTTTAGATTAGCAAATAAAAATTTAATGCAAAAGGTTCTCCCCTGACCTTACTGGTTTCGTTTATTTTTGATGCCACAGTGAATACGAACGCGTTGCGGATTTCACGCGAATCGGCCAAATGACAAACCCCGCAGTAAAGGTGACCAACGCTGAATTGGGGTATTTTTCAACTCGACTGGGCGCCAAAATGTCAGCCCGAAGCCAGGTACACAATCTTGCATTAAAAAAATATTCTTCCAGTAAAACAAAACCAGTTATTTCAAAAGAAAGGGGCTTTGTATTCACGCTTAATCAGCAGTCTGTCTCAAGAATTCGTGACTACAAATTTCAGATTCGTACTTCCAACACGACGATCTAAGGGAAAACTTTGACCTTGAGGCGTTCTGAGATTCTTTGTTTCCAAGAGTAAATAATTGATAGCATGCGAAGCAGTGATGCGAATGTGTGAAATGCTGAAACTAAGGGGGTTTGTCATCCCCAAACGGTAATATGACAAACTTGACTCTCGACCCTTTGGTCATCAGGACTTAATCGCCCACGTTCAACTGCTTTGCTACTCCTACCGGCACTCACTTTATCCCTTGACGAATGACCATTGTAAACGTGCCCCCCTTGTTTGTTGTCCAGACTGTGCTCTCACCTCCCGACACCTCTCAGAATGTTTCCTAGACTTCCTTCTCCATCACTCGTGGCTTCGGTTTTCGCGCAGCTCGTCCCATGTTTTACTTTTCATCTTTTCCTTTTGCCTTCCTTCACCTCCCTCTCCTTTGCTTTTTTTAACGTCGAGCCCACAGACACTATTTCACTTCGTTTGTTCATCAACATACGCTGGTTCAAAAGGCAACCACAAAATTTACAAAAAAAACAGCGTTTCGTGTGTTTCCGGCGGCTTGAAAGAAGGCAAGTTTGGCGTTTAGTGATTTGTGCGCGGTTTCTGAGTTGAAAGTGGACACATTTACTTCAGGTAGTTCATGTGCAGTCGAAGGATCAGTGCCACCAAGTGTATTTTTGATTTACAAAACTTGAATAAACACGACTTTCGATTGTCGATTAAGCCCTACGAGCAGTCCTCTACCCCTGGAGCAAAATGACAGGGAGGTGCTAATTTACAACACGAAACCACTTTTTTTCAAAATTCCTTGGAGGTTACACCCTGGCGCCTCAACTACTGACAGCCCCATACATTGCCCAGACCTTTGTTGTGGCTCGGGTCGAGGGCGCTTGATTAATGAACACTGTGGCATTCCTCTCTACGCCGAATGCGTTACATGTGTCGACAGGCTGTTCAGGAAGACAGCACACGCCATCTAGTCTCTTTACACCGAAGAAACGTGTTTTATATTGTGCAAAAGGCTACTAGGTCCATTTTCCAGAGCCGGTCCCGCTACGCAGTATTCGATGAGGAATAGATTGAGAAAAATCCATTAAACATCTAAGCATCTCAGTATAAATGGGAGCCCATTACTGAAGGTAATTAAATGTTCCATTAACCAATCAGCTGGCCAAACTCGAAAGTGTGACCCGCGAAATCGTTTACAAATATGTTCTTATAGTCACTGGTACTTCCTGACCAGCAAATGATCATGCAAAGTGAGAATATTTTGTGTACACACTCGCTTTGTTTTCAAAGACCTTGAAGGCTTCACTAATTTGAGTTATTTTGCTGATCCACGCCCATTAACCCGGTCGTCGCGGCCTCACACGCACGTCCCCCCCCCATTCACCGCGTGCCCGTCAGTTACTGGGACAGCTTGCTCATTCACCCCTCTGTTTGTTCCACCACCACCCGCTCTATCCATGTGACCTTCCAGCCGTCAGCATATTTGCTAGTCCACTCAACTGCATCAGTCAGCACAACACAGCAAAATTTGGTTAAGCTGTCTGGTAAAAGGTTGTCACTCGTTCTCTCCGGTCTCCTTCATCTTCGCGGGTACTCAGGATAGCGTAGCCGGGCCAGATCAACGCAGTGGCCTCGACGTGGTTTAAGACAACATGCCGGGGCCCTCAACAGATCCTGGCACCTGTTGAAGTCATTTCCAGTTGCTGATGTTTCGTGGCTTACTTTCCAAGCGTTCAACCTTCCATAAGCATTCCCAATGCTGATGTAACGCTTTAGTGGTTAAATCTATGTCAGGTACAAGGTGGTAGAAACAATTGTTACCATTTTAAAATAAAAGGTATCATTTTATGAAAATAAGATGTAATTTTGAGTAAAACGCCATCCAGTTATAATGGAACAAAAACAGCCCTGTATTGGCCTTTTCTTCAATGAGTTCAAATCGAACAAAGTCCTAATGGCAGTGTTGCTTAAACCCAATGATTAAACGGAAAGTATAGAATAAACGAGTTTTTAAATTGGCATCTTTGAAGGCGATACGCACACTTCTGCACAAAATTCGTCGACGATCGACGGGTGAGGAGGAGTTCCTGCCAATGCCCGTCCAGCCGTCATCCCATTTAAAGCACTTTACGGAAGAGGACGACAACTTGACCTTCCATCCCATTGCCCCACCGATCGATATTGATGATGAGGGGTTACAGGCAAATTATCTGTACGAGGAGAGCAGCGGTCTCCCGATTGAGTATGGTGGTGAATGGAATAGCCTGCTGCCAGACCATCCAGGGACCCTCGGAAATTTCACTTTTGGCAGTTTGGATGAAGCCTCGAGAGGCAAGCACTTTTTGTTCAAAATATCTTTACCGAAGGTCATAAATTTTGGGGATCAAACGGCTTGAAAAGGCTTATATATTATCCTTGAGCTAAGGTAGTCAAACAATCATTCCCAGTCTTGTTCTACAGAGCATTTTTACATAATTGATCAACGAATATTAACTGATAGTGGTTGCTGTAATCTCAGTGTCTAAAATGGCTACCAAATTCGACACCTGAAAAGAATCTGGCTCAGCATAAATCTGGTTACTTGCTACAAAGTTGCTCTAAAACCGGTTACTCAATATGTTCTAAACCCGATTTTTCTTCGGCTGGAAGTGGCTTTCAGCTGGTTCCTATCTATTAAGAACTAAAATACCAGGAATAACCACAAGGTTTGGCTTTTTGATTTCTAAAGACATGCTGTCGAAGGGTGTATAATTGTTTTTACTTTCTTGGAAGAAGTTGAAATAGCTCGGCATTTACAGCCTTTGCGCTCGCGGTGCAGAAGTTTTCTGATCATACAATCATTGGTTAAATCGCTCCAAATTATAACTCACTCCAGTCGATTGGCTGCTATACTTTTAAACCCTCTTACATTCTTCTAGTCCAACCAGACCTCGACGTGAGCCTGGATGTCGAGCCAACTACGACAACTTCAGCTTATAGGCCTCGCATCAGCCTGATGCAGACTCTCTCGACAGTCCTACTCTCATTCGCAGCAAGTATGCATTCCCTTATCTGCCGTCTGAAGTTGCCTATCCGTTTGTCTTGGTGTCGTGGGACAATTTCCGAATCAGATCGGTCAAAGATCATGCCTGTTGCTTGTACTTTAACACTATGTGCGTTCACGGACCTACTTTGATTCAAATCCCCCTCTACGTTCCTAACCCCACTCCTGGACACTAAAATTCTAGCCGTGCAGAAAATGCGAGTTTTAAGCTTTTGCAACTTGGGCTAAACAACCATGTAAACAGATGTACATTATTTCAAAATCCTACTTCAGCTGCTTCAAGTTCAAATATCTGACATTTTGGGAAACCACGTAACTTCACTGGCAATCGAGAAGGTATATTTTAACAAATAAAGGAAAGATTTGCCATGAAGGTGTCCGTGTATAGATGCCAAACGACCACTGATATGCTTTGCTTCTCTCTTGCAGTAGATTTGATACAATGCTATTGATGTTTGGAATTTGCACGAATTTGCGTGACCATGGCTTTTTTCAAATATCATTAAATTAACAAAGTTATTGGCAAAAGTATCGAGCCGTTAAAACTACATTCGCAATCAGACTCACACATTTCCGTGTGGTTACCGATGAAGACGAACTCTTACATGGTGGATCCCGTTGGGAAGCTGTTAAATGTAATTTTTTTGTGAAATACTGGGTTGAAGATGTTTTCTTTTGGTTTTTCGGTCCAATATTAACCACAAAGCTTCAAAAAATATGGCTTATCGCAAAACTTTTGCATTCCCTGCAATTGTAAACGAATTCGACCGATTTGATGAGGTCGTTTTGTCAGATCGAGGTGATTATCAACGTTGAAGGCCCTATTAGTGTATGACTCGCACTAGACCAAACACTAAGCTAGGTATGAGAAGACCGAAGTTAAAAAATACTCAACCACTTATGAGCCCTTGAGGCTGGATATTGAGTCGTGACTGCTAATACGTGTTTAAATGTCATTAGAACGAGAGGTCGAAGCTTGTGCCACTAGGGTGTTTACATGGATGGTCAGTTTAAGTCCGAGATAACCAAGTGCGCAGGTCTGCATTGAGGCGATTCAAATAGGGGAATTAATGGGGATGAATACCAGAAAAGTGGTCAAGTGGCCCACCAGTGAATCTGTGGAAATGCACAAATTTGGTAACCAATCATGTATGAGCCACGATGGCTGAAGTAAATTGAAAAGTTTCTTTAGAAAACCTATGCTTCCGGGTGTCATGCCGCGCATTTGACTTCAAGACGAGTGACAAATGTCCTAATCCAGCTAATAAAGGTATCTTAGCGAGTTTTGCAGCTTGAAGTAGGTGTCTGTTATTGCGAATGACCACCTGCAGTTGGCTATCAGGTCGCTTGAACTGTTTAACTCGGTACCACGGAGGTACTGGGCAATTGCTCAATTTCCAACGATGTAGGTACCTACAGGTTCACCAAGTGCAAATCGTCTTCGAAGAAGGAAAACAACCAACCGATTCCTTCCAATGTTTACAATTTGCTCCACGGCGAGATTTCTTGTCGCCAGCCTAACCATCATTTGGTGCCGAATGCGGCACTCACTTCCCGTCATTTGATCTTCCTGCCTTGGCACAAATTGGCGATGGATAGTCGCCTAGTGACAGTCAGTTTGCTACTCCAACTCCTACTTCATGGTTTCACGTTCATTTTCCTTCCAACGCGTGCTTCAGCGGTTGCAGAGTGTTTTGGATGATAGGAGCGGCTTCGTTATTGAACTGACAAGCATTAAATTCGTGAATCAGTTCTGTACCACATACTTAGTTTTAACGCACATTTTTGGAGACATCACACGCCTGTAGCTTTAAACTCACATCTACACAAAGACACAATGACGGACGGTGCCGAATACGCGTTTTTTTAAATTAATTTGAGCGCTATTCCTGTTTCTACGAGTGAACAAAGCAACCTCTCTCCAACCAGCACTCTTGTAGAAAAAAATGCCTTTTTTTCGGAACACATAAAGCGCTTAACAAACACAAGGTAAGTGGCGAATAAACGCGAAAAAACGAGCCAGTTCCTCAACCCTGTCCTTCATTTTTGAGTGTACATCCGTGTGGTGGTGCGTTCTGTGATACGGCGAGCACACGGACGGTCAAGCCATCTGGAGATTTGTCATCCAGTTGGTCTACGTAGTGGTACCTAGATTGGTGTTTTCGTTCTAGAGAAGAAAATGCTGCGATTCTATTGGCTTGTTTCGACATTTAAATCGTTTAATCAAATACAGGACAAAAAATAGCATCTATTAGGGAAAACATTTCTTAATTGCCTCGTCTATGAAGTCTTCTAACCCCTTTTTGACTTACTCCTCCTTCCCCCTCCGCTGGTTCACCGTAGTCTTAGCATTGCTCATTCCCCTCACATCATATTTATGGACAAACTACCCGTTTCACTTTGTGAAAAACATTACAAGAGACCAGAGAGACGGTTCCGATGAACCGTTGGACTTGAAAAAAACTCCTTAAAAGCTTTTCTATTCTCTATTTTAGACCGTCTTCTAATTTGAGACACGCCAAACCAAAATCTACGACCAAATACACACACATACATACCTTTGCCACAGACTTTAGTTTGAAAAAAATCTTGCAAGTTTTGTCATTTTTCAAGCATTTTCAGTTTACTCGCGTCACTACCTTATTGTTGTCTATCATTCAAGTGTAGATAAATTGACACTACTATTTGGAAACCTTGTTTTGTTGTTCACAATTGAAATTGAAGGACTAACTTGCAAATAACAACCAGCCTAACAACAAAATGGCAGAACTAGGATGCGTTCTCTCCTTCTAAGAAAGTAAGATATGGGGTGCTTCCCTGTGTGACAGCATTGGGCGCTGTCAGCAAGTTGGTTTGTGCCTACACAACTCGCACAATGCTTACATCGAGGTAGGCAAGTTGCTAATTTGAGTATTCGAGGTAGAAGCTGTCGTCCTCCAACCAATGGATGACTTATCAGGCTTCACTTACCTTCAAAACCCTTGTAGCCTGCAGACACTTGCGGTCAAAGTAAACCTAAGGGGTCACGGCACTTTGGCTTGACGGTCAGGCTGGAAAATCTAAGACACCCCATCACACGGGCCAGAACTTTCTTTGTGGTAAATCATAATCATTGGCGGAACAACCCAACAATGACTACAGGAAATTATACAATATTACCCCTGTGGTTTCCTGTTGAAACAAAAGCACCGTCCTCAAAACTAGTACTAGCTCTCATTTGGTCGGCTCTTTGAAGTGTTGCAGTAGATCTCCAGTCTTTAGGCAGAAGAGGAAGGAGAATGGACGGTTATGGTATTAAAATTTTCGTATGTTTTCACATATTTTTCCCGAAATGCCAGAATATGCAAATTTAAGATTAGCCTTGGAATTGCGTTGCTTTATCCTATTGAACTTCGAACACATCTGCTGAGTTTTCAATAATAATGCGATTCAGCGCATTGAGTAAAATCGCATGCAAAAACGTAGCCTGATTCGGTTGCCTGATGTCCAGTTTCGAGGGAACCAAATGAAAACCATCGTTCCTTTGTAAACAGTTTCTTTTGGGATGGAGCGCTGCTATAGAGTATTTATCGTTACGCCTGCCTGTTCCCATGTCTAAAGGACTGTTCTCTCCATCAGAGATTATTCCGGAAAATTTTCTAACTTACTGAAGAAATCGCAAAGTAACATGCAAGTTTACCGTTCAAGTAAGTCGCTACGTGCTGTTTTAAAGCAAAAACTGCATACCCAGCACCATGTTGGAAATCGGAAATAGGGGCATCGAGCGGAAAGCTTGATGGAGACTAGTTTGCGCTTTTCACTACTCAATATCGGTAGAATTCACAACCCCGTTCCGTTTTAAGCAAATCCTTTTCTGCCATGCGTGCAGCAGGGAAAATCTTACCATGAAAAATGTCTAAAAGCGCTAGGCTTGGCTTTTGCGAAAAATGATTTGCTCCGCCGTTAATCGTGGTGCAACGCAACCTGGCCGCATTTTCCGCTTTTTCGGCAGCTGTTCTTGCAAGGTCGAGCAGCAGCATCTACCTTCACCAGGTGTTCATTCTTTTTCCAACTTTTTAAACCACCGCCGCCTCCAACGGTATTTCTTCCGCTGTTTTGCAGCTTCTTTAGTACACAATGGAATGCGCGCACGGTGGTTGCGCCAACCAGGAAAAAAGTCAACCGTTTGGTTACACATGAACACGCATTCAGACGCACAGAGGGATATATATCTCATCAGTGCCAAAAGGTCAGTGCGCTGTGTGGAATAGCCGGAATGTTCGCTGGCATATGCCAGCAACGCCAGGCATTGAATGGCCCATTCTTGAATGAATGGGGTTTTGCACGTATTCCAGGGGTACTAGGTATGAAATG